CTCAGCTCACCCTCAAGACAATACCTCAGCTCCCCCTCAAGATATTACCTCAGCTCACCCTCAAGAGAATACCTCAGCTCACCCTCAAGATATTACCTCAGCTCACCCTCAAGATATTACCTCAGCTCAACCTCAAGATATTACCTCAGCTCACCCTCAAGATATTACCTCAGCTCCCCCTCAAGATATTACCTCAGCTCACCCTCAAGACAATACCTCAGCTCACCCTCAAGATATTACCTCAGCTCACCCTCAAGATATTACCTCAGCTCAACCTCAAGATATTACCTCAGCTCACCCTCAAGATATTACCTCAGCTCCCCCTCAAGATATTACCTCAGCTCACCCTCAAGACAATACCTCAGCTCACCCTCAAGATATTACCTCAGCTCACCCTCAAGATATTACCTCAGCTCAACCTCAAGATATTACCTCAGCTCACCCTCAAGACAATACCTCAGCTCACCCTCAAGATATTACCTCAGCTCCCCCTCAAGACAATACCTCAGCTCACCCTCAAGATATTACCTCAGCTCACCCTCAAGACAATACCTCAGCTCCCCCTCAAGATATTACCTCAGCTCCCCCTCAAGACAATACCTCAGCTCACCCTCAAGATATTACCTCAGCTCCCCCTCAAGATATTACCTCAGCTCCCCTCAAGACAATACCTCAGCTCACCCTCAAGATATTACCTCAGCTCACCCTCAAGATATTACCTCAGCTCACCCTCAAGACAATACCTCAGCTTCCCCTCAAGAGAATACCTCAGCTTCCCCTCAAGACAATACCTCAGCTCACCCTCAAGACAATACCTCAGCTTCCCCTCAAGACAATGCCTCAGCTTCCCCTCAAGACAATACCTCAGCTCCCCCTCAAGAGAATACCTCAGCTTCCCCTCAAGACAATGCCTCAGCTTCCCCTCAAGACAATACCTCAGCTCACCCTCAAGACAATGCCTCAGCTCACCCTCAAGACAATACCTCAGCTTCCCCTCAAGAGAATACCTCAGCTTCCCCTCAAGACAATGCCTCAGCTTCCCCTCAAGACAATACCTCAGCTCACCCTCAAGACAATGCCTCAGCTCACCCTCAAGACAATACCTCAGCTCCCCCTCAAGACAATACCTCAGCTCCCCCTCAAGATATTACCTCAGCTCCCCCTCAAGAGAATACCTCAGCTCCCCCTCAAGCCAATACCTGTTTAAGAGTATTAGAGAGCTTTCCGTAAGGAGTCGGTCTCCAGCGGTCATTACATCAGCTGTAGATAGAATAAATTGTCATTCACACTTCCCTGGAAATATACATTCCATTCACCTCGGCTCTAGGAGACTCGAACTCTGGACCCCACGTGTGTGAGGCCAAAGCTCCATCGCCTGTGCTAGTGAGTGATCTTAATAAGGAAAGTTTCCAGAAGCAGTATCATGCTGTCATACTGGGATTTTCAACCTTCCTTGACTACTACTGATAGCAGATAGTGTTGCGGCCATTACTATAATAATAATAAATCTTGATTTATCAGAGAAATGTACTCTATGTACTATATGTACTATGTACTCCACCCAATCCAACAGTGAGTTAGGGGCTATTCATGCCCGTGCCACCTCTTACAATGAATCAACGGTGAGGAATGACTCACTGTATATGGATGTTGCCGCCAAGAGAACCCGTCTCCTTACTCATTCCCCACACTCACACTCCAGCCCTGTGACCTCACAGCTCACTCATGTAGCCTCAACTCCCCGTCACATTCCCCACACTCACACTCCAGCTCTGTGACCTCACAGCTCACTCATCTGTATCTGTAGCCTCAATTCCCCGTCTCCTTACTCATTCCCCACACTCACACTCCAGCCCTGTGACCTCACAGCTCACTCATCTGTATCTGTAGCCTCAACTCCCCGTCTCCTTACTCATTCCCCACACTCACACTCCAGCCCTGTGACCTCACAGCTCACTCATCTGTATCTGTAGCCTCAACTCATGTTCTCAGAATATTTTGCCCTTAATTTGGGTTCGATTTCTATCTGATTTCGTTCGAAACCATTTAAGTGAGCACTTAAATGAGAGGATCGTGCGTACGATCACGGCTGCCGTACTGGTCGTACGTGCTGCTCGGTAAATATCGTATATTTAAAGAACTAGTAATCTTTTTAATCTGTGGCGTCTCTATTCAGGTCGTAGATTGCCAGTCTGACGCGTGACTCTGGCAATAGCGAATCACTGGCGGCTTATGTAAGATTCTTCGCTAGCCTCATCTATGGAGAAGACCCTAAAAGAAATGGAAAATGTACTTGTAAAATGTATTCCATTCAGTCGAGGTGAATGGAAAATGTACTTGTGTTGGGCACAAAGTACGTGAGGTGATCGATACACAGATGATAACTATATTCAAATTCAAATTTGCATTCAAGAGAATGTGCGTACATAGAATATAAGAGTAATCTACAATTGTAGGGGGACAAGAGTTACATATGCTAATGATACCACTATTACGCAAAGCGTTTCGGGCAAAGGTATATGTAAGAAAAGAAAAGTAACGTACAGGAAGCCTATTGGTCGATAAGACAGCGGCCATATATACCTAACTAAACTATAATAATAATAATAATTTATAATAATAATAATAATAATAATAATAATAATTTTTATTTAGGCAAAGGTACATACATAAAGAGATTTTACAAAGTTTGTTGGCTTTATAGATAAGAGGTCCATAATATGTAATCGTCATTTGAAACACTTCAGTGATCTCACGTCTGTAACCCAATAATTGTCACATAAAACAACAACTCTATTACCTAACCAGGTTTTTTTCCTAAATCTAAAATGACAAAATTAAGCTTACTTAATCTTTTCACAAGGAAGAATTATAATTTCTGGCAACTTAATCTTTTCACAAGGAAGAATTATAATTTCTGGCAACTTAATCTTTTCACAAGGAAGAATTATAATTTCTGGCAACTTAATCTTTTCACAAGGAAGAATTATAATTTCTGGCAACTTAATCTTTTCACAAGGGAGAATTATAATTTCTGGCAACTTAATCTTTTCACAAGGGAGAATTATAATTTCTGGCAACTTAATCTTTTCACAAGAAAGAATTATAATTTCTGGCAATAATTATAATTGCCAGGAATTATAATTCCTGGCAATTGCAATTCCTGGCAACATTCTTCCCCATCTGGCCAAAAAATATCTGCATTATCTAAATTGGGCCTATTAGGAGCAAGAAAAACATTACACGTGTTATTGGTAACACTTCTTGCATCTCCTTATTACATTCTTATACACTTCTTATACATCCTAGTACATCATCAAACAAATCACAGCGAGAAAATAATTTTGAGGCATTGGGGCGACTTGAACCTGCGTTCTGGTGAGTCCCAGACACCTGCCTTACCCCACTGAAGTAAGGGTGTAAACACCATTACCCGCAGACCAGAGTGTTAGGCGGGCCGACTGTAAAAATCCTGGTTGAGCTCCAGTTCAGGGTCTCCAGAATCTTCCCGTGAGTTCCGGGTTGGTCGGCTTTTGTCGTGTCTTGGCCGAGTGGGTTAAGGGAACCAGAACATTCAAAAGGATTTTCTCCTAGTATGTCATATTTAGCACATTGATATTTGTTTTTGTTTTTAAAATTATCCCAACTAATCATGACACCCAGATCTCTTTCGAATTCAAATTTGGTCATTTCAGTATTGTCCAGCTGAAATCTAGTAACAATACAACAATTCCTAGGCTGAGAACCCTTGAAAAAAGCAAATTGCTTTCCTTAAAATAGCTTTGAGGTCCAGTTCCTGAATCGGCTCCCAGCCGATTGGTCCTGGGTTGGATTGCTGGGCAAAGCGAGAAGTTAGGACACATTTCCTAACACCTGATGCTTCTGTTCACCTAGCAATAAACAGGCACCTGAGAACTAGTCGACAGTCGTGGGGTGGCATGCTTTGGCAAGTCACTCGATGACTGTTCACTACAGAAGTGAATAAGTATGCTTAGTCTGTAAGATACTAACAAGGTTAGACTATAAGTCTAATAAGCTTCCTCAAACGTACAACGTTTTAGAAAGTTTATACAGCCCTCGTGGGGATAAGATAGGAGCTAGGATATGATGAGGCGAACGGACGGTGCACAACCACTTGGACTGTCGGGGGATTGAACGACGACTGTGCTTGAAGCGAGGTCGTCGCTCTACCGACTAGTCCAAGCGGACTAGTATCTGTGATTGGTGTGGATTTAAACTCTGGGGCCAGATTCACGAAAACACTTACGCAAGCACTTACGAACGTGTACATCTTTCCTCAATATTTGACGGCTTTGGTTACATTTATTAAACAGTTTACAAGCTCCGAAACTTGCCAGGAGGCTGTTGTTATTGTTATAAACAGCCTCCTGGTGCTTCGGAGCTCATTAACTGTTTAATAAATGGAAACAAAGCCGCCAAAGATTGAGGAAAGATGTACACGTTCATAAGTGCTTGCGTAAGTGCTTTCGTGAATCTGGCCCCAGGTTCGTAAGTGTTTGCGTAAGTGCTTTCATGAATCTGGGGCCAGATTCACGAAAGAACTTACGCAAGCACTTACGAACGTGTACATCTTTCCTCAATCTTTGACAGCTTTGGTTACATTTATTAAACAGTTTACAAGCATGAAAACTTCCCATTCAACTGTTGTTATTGTTATAAACAGCTTTCTAGTGCTTCGGAGCTCATTAACTGTTTAATAATTGGAAACAAAGCCGCCAAAGATTGAGAAAAGATGTACAGGTCCGTAAGTGCTTGCGTAAGTTCTTTCGTGAATCTGGCCCCTGGCCCCTGGACTGACATGACTCTCCTTCGACCTCTCTCTCAGAATGTATGGTAACAGGTTTATTGTTTGTGATGTGTGTCTATGTATGTACTAACACGTTGTACTGAACGGGGTGAGAATAGCTTGAGCTACCTCATCCCTTTGTGTGTATTTTACCTCAATAAACTTATTTCAATTTCAATTTCAATTTCGACAGTGGTGGGACGCGTGGGGCGTCCGCTTGATGTGGATCAGGGAGACGTTGCTGGCGCGGCTTGACCGCTACATTACCATCATCGACAGGTACCTGCTGCGGGTGCAGGACGTCCTCGCCGCCATCCTCACCTTACTCATTACACCACTCTCAATTGTTTTTGAATATCTGAACGTGACTCCTAAGGTAAGAAGACATTTTGACGAATTCTAAACTTTGGAACGACGTGTATACGTTTATATTTTGTGAACGATGGTTTGGTTATTGCCGCCAGCGTTGGGTAGTTTATTGTCACACATTCTCATCCTGTGAGAGGTAGTTTATTGTCACATTCTCATCCTGTGAGAGGTAGTTTATTGTCACACATTCTCATCCTGTGAGAGGTAGTTTATTGTCACATTCTCATCCTGTGAGAGGTAGTTTATTGTCACACATTCTCATCCTGTGAGAGGTAGTTTATTGTCACATTCTCATCCTGTGAGAGGTAGTTTATTGTGTTACATTCTCATCCTGTGAGAGGTAGTTTATTGTGTTACATTCTCATCCTGTGAGAGGTAGTTTATTGTGTTACATTCTCATCCTGTGAGTGGTAGTTTATTGTGTCACATTCTCATCCTGTGAGAGGTAGTTTATTGTCACACATTCTCATCCTGTGAGAGGTAGTTTATTGTGTTACATTCTCATCCTGTGAGTGGTAGTTTATTGTCACACATTCTCATCCTGTGAGAGGTAGTTTATTGTCACACATTCTCATCCTGTGAGAGGTAGTTTATTGTCACACATTCTCATCCTGTGAGAGGTAGTTTATTGTCACATTCTCATCCTGTGAGAGGTAGTTTATTGTCACATTCTCATCCTGTGAGAGGTAGTTTATTGTGTACTCTATAGTAATAATAATTTAGTAATAATTTAATTCATTGTGTCGGGGGACAGGAAGACAGAGTGTATTCATGCACGTTAGGGTTATATCTGCCCCCCCCCTCGAAGGCTGAATTACTGACCCCGCCCAGGATGCAACCCCACAACAGTTCACTAACTCCTGAGTACCTACTTACCACCAGGTGAACAGGTGCATCAGGTGATAAGAAATGTGCCCATAGGGTAGATAAGTGTTTTCAGCGTTAGATAACAGTGCGAGGGGTTACCGCACCAGACACCACCAAACTTCCACCAATGTGTGGAACAAGCAACAGCCTGGTGGACCAAACTCTCACAAGTCAAGCCTGGCCTCGGGCCGGGCTTGGGGAGTAGAAGAACTCCCAGAACCCATCAACCAGGTATATGTGGGCCTGCGGGCCGCTCCAAGCAACAGGGTGGACCAAACTCTCACAAGTCAAGCCTGGCCTCGGGCCGGGCTTGGGGAGTAGAAGAACTCCCAGAACCCCATCAACCAGGTATATGTGGGCCTGCGGGCCGCTCCAAGCAACAGCCTGGTGGACCAAACTCTCACAAGTCAAGCCTGGCCTCGGGCCGGGCTTGGGGAGTAGAAGAACTCCCAGAACCCCATCAACCAGGTATCAACCAGGTATCAACCAGGTGTGTTCAACTTCCACTCATCTTTCCACATTCGGATGAACATGTGTGTTGACATATTGATCTGTTACCATCTTGAGGTTATCTTGAGATGATTTCGGGGCTTTAGTGTCCCCGCGGCCCGGTCCTCGACCAGGCCTCCACCCCCAGGAAGCAGCCCGTGACAGCTGACTAACACCCAGGTACCTATTTTACTGCTAGGTAACAGGGGCATAGGGTGAAAGAAACTCTGTCTATTGTTTCTCGCCGGCGCCCGGGATAGAACCCGGGACCACAGGATCACAAGTCCAGTGTGCTGTCCGCTCGGCCGACCGGCTCACCATAATGAGATTGGTGTAATAGTCGCTCTCCCAACCACTTGAACTGGACGGTACAACGACGGTCGCGCTTCATGCAGGTCGGCGTTCAATCCCCGACCGTCCAAGTGGTTGGGCACCATTCCTCCCCCCCCCCCGTCCCATCCGAAATTCTTATCCAGACCCCCTTCCCAATGCTATATTGTCTTAATGGCTTGACGTTTCTCCTGATAGTTCCCTTCCCCTCGATGATACCTAGTTGATACCTGGTTGATGGAGATGATCTTTGTGCCGTAATGTATGGGGGCAAGATGTGTGCCTTAGTCTTTCACTCTACAGATGAGTTTGGTGGGATGCTTGTACCCAGAGCTATATTTTCCGCTTTTCCAATAGTCTATCCTTAAGTGTGTTGTAGTTTTCTTTGATAGTGTCTGAGTCTCCAGTAGCTTCCCACAGCAACCTATCTTTTTTTTTTTTTGAGATATATACAAGAGTTGTTACATTCTTGTAGAGCCACTAGTACGCGTAGCGTTTCGGGCAGGTCCCTGGAATACGATCCCCTGCCGCGAAGAATCGTTGTTACAACCAAGTACACATTTTACTGTTGCGTTAAACAGAGGCTACAGTTAAGGATTTGCGCCCAGTAAATCCTCCCCGGCCAGGATACGAACCCATGACAGCGCTCGCGGAACGCCAGGCGAGTGTCTTACCACTGCACCACGGACACTGGCAAACTTTAGTCTAAATGACTACAGTTTCTGTGGCTTATATGGGCTCGTGTCTGACGGAGTATACACCACTGAAGCCTCGAGTCTCTGGCTAGCACTTCTTTCCCGTCTGACATTTCAAGTAAGTTTATTGAGATAATACAATACATCTCAAGAGGATAGAGTAGCCTAGGCTATTTCTATCCTCGTCAACCGTCCACCATGGCTGGATTTCCCAACCCGTCTTCCTAATAGAACGTCGCATTTTGACGTACATTCTGCCTAAGGCCAAAAATTCTCGTACTAGAAAACGGAAGCGGCTCGCAAAAGTGATGTACTGTCCCGTTTTCTGTTGTGGCTCCTCTGGTAGGTTAGGATAAGAGCACTTTAATACGACAGTTTCTTGACGTTGGTAAATGTCGAGAGGAGCTGAATACCGAACTATCATATCTTATTAATCTCTAAATATTCTCATTTAATTAACCTGTAATTACTCTATTGTTAGGTTATGTGAAAAGTTAATTTTCCCCTTTGCTCAATATTTATACCCATTCAGCGTTATTAACGTTAATTCCACGTTGTATAGCGTTATTAACGTTAATTCCACGTTGTATAGCGTTATTAACGTTAATTCTACGTTGTATAGCGTTATTAACGTTAATTCTACGTTGTATAGCGTTATTAACGTTAATTCCACGTTGTATAGCGTTATTAACGTTAATTCCACGTTGTATAGCGTTATTAACGTTAATTCTACGTTGTATAGCGTTATTAACGTTAATTCTACGTTGTATAGCGTTATTAACGTTAATTCTACGTTGTATAGCGTTATTAACGTTAATTCTACGTTGTATAGCGTTATTAACGTTAATTCTACGTTGTATAGCGTTATTAACGTTAATTCCACGTTGTATAGCGTTATTAACGTTAATTCCACGTTGTATAGCGTTATTAACGTTAATTCTACGTTGTATAGCGTTATCAACGTTAATTCTACGTTGTATAGCGTTATCAACGTTAATTCTACGTTGTATAGCGTTATTAACGTTAATTCTACGTTGTATAGCGTTATTAACGTTAATTCTACGTTGTATAGCGTTATTAACGTTAATTCTACGTTGTATAGCGTTATCAACGTTAATTCTACGTTGTATAGCGTTATTAACGTTAATTCTACGTTGTATAGCGTTATTAACGTTAATTCTACGTTGTATAGCGTTATTAACGTTAATTCTACGTTGTATAGCGTTATTAACGTTAATTCTACGTTGTATAGCGTTATTAACGTTAATTCTACGTTGTATAGCGTTATTAACGTTAATTCTACGTTGTATAGCGTTATTAACGTTAATTCTACGTTGTATAGCGTTATTAACGTTAATTCTACGTTGTATAGCGTTATTAACGTTAATTCTACGTTGTATAGCGTTATTAACGTTAATTCTACGTTGTATAGCGTTATTAACGTTAATTCTACGTTGTATAGCGTTATTAACGTTAATTCTACGTTGTATAGCGTTATTAACGTTAATTCTACGTTGTATAGCGTTATTAACGTTAATTCTACGTTGTATAGCGTTATCAACGTTAATTCCACGTTGTATAGCGTTATCAACGTTAATTCCACGTTGTATAGCGTTATTAACGTTAATTCCACGTTGTATAGCGTTATTAACGTTAATTCCACGTTGTATAGCGTTATTAACGTTAATTCCACGTTGTATAGCGTTATTAACGTTAATTCCACATTGTATAGCGTTATCAACGTTAATTCTACGTTGTATATCGTTATCAACGTTATCCGGAACTCACAGTTCCTGCGACGGCGCTGGAACCAATCGTATTGGCGTATGCTTTTGCATTGGAGACTTTCAGCGTCGTGGAGAGGGGGAGGACCTGCTGCCTGGGTAACAGCTTCTCCCCCCGAATCAACCCCCTCGTAGCCTGGTGGATAGCGCGCAGGACTCGTAATTCTGTGGCGCGGGTTCGATTCCCGAACGAGGCAGAAACAAATGGGCAAAGTTTCTTTCACCCTGAATGCCCCTGTTACCTAGCAGTAAATAGGTACCTGGGAGTTAGTCAGCTGTCACGGGCTGCTTCCTGGGGGTGGAGGCCTGGTCGAGGACCGGGCCGCGGGGACACTAAAGCCCCGAAATCATCTCAAGATAACCTCAAGAAGAAGATAACCCTGGCTTTGCGCCCTGGTGAGGCCACTCCAGACCGACAGCTTCTCCCCCGAATCAACCTACCCAGGCTTTGCGCCCTGGTGAGGCCACTCAAGACCGACAGCTTCTCCCCCGAATCAACCTACCCAGGCTTTGCGCCCTGGTGAGGCCACTCCAGACCGACAACTTCTCCCCCGAATCAACCTACCCTGGCTTTGCGCCCTGGTGAGGCCACTCCAGACCGACAACTTCAATCAACCTACCCTGGCTTTGCGCCCTGGTGAGGCCACTCCGGACCGACAGCTTCTCCCTCGAATCAACCTACCCAGGCTTTGCGCCCTGGTGAGGCCACTCCAGACCGACATCAGAGCGCATCTCCACAGTCTCCTGAGACTGGCGGATGCCTACTACTATAGTTTATTGTGTTATAACGTTAAATAACTTAGAATTAATGTTACTCGTGTGGTTTTCCTCCTTTATTTTAACATAGGGGGGGGGGGCTACTATGCTAATTGTGCAAGTGTAATATAAAATATTTGTATACCAGGTGGTGCAGAAGCCTGGTCGTGCGAACGACGACCAGGGTCAGGGTCGTGCTGTAGGTGGCGCCCATGACGACGACGGCGACGAAGACGAGGAGTGGGGCGACGACAACCTCTCAGACGCCTCCACCGACTCCAAACTTTTGCTCAAGAACGACCCTCAAGGTTCGTGGCTGAAGTCGTTACTTGTAGTCGTTACTTGAAGTTGTTACTTGAAGTCGTTACTTGAAGTCGCAGGCAAAATGTTTTTTTTACTAATGCTAAGTTTTTTTATTTTTTATTTTTTTTTTTGGTGGGGTGGGCCCCTGTTTTTTGTTTCTTTTTTCTGCCATAGTCGCTGCCATATACTTTTACAGTGGTAACTATAACATACATATATTTTCATCTGTCCTTCATGGACAGGGTTAGAAATCTGCTACAGTACATGCTGGATTATTGACCACTCAACCACAGGGAATTGAAGTGTGTTTACAATGGTATTCGGCAGATATTCAAGTGTGTAATGTACACACAGGCTTAGTGAGATGTTGATGATATCTGAACGTTGATAATATCTGAACGTTGATGATATCTGAACGTTGATGATATCTGAACGTTGATGATACATGAACGTTGATGATATCTGAACGTTGATGATACATGAACGTTGATGATACATGAACGTTGATGATATCTGAACGTTGATGATACATGAACGTTGATGATATCTGAACGTTGATGATATCTGAACGTTGATGATACATGAACGTTGATGATATCTGAACGTTGATGATACATGAACGTTGATGATATCTGAACGTTGATGATATCTGAACGTTGATAATATCTGAACGTTGATGATATCTGAACGTTGATGATATCTGAACGTTGATGATACATGAACGTTGATGATATCTGAACGTTGATGATATCTGAACGTTGATGATATCTGAACGTTGATGATATCTGAACGTTGATGATATCTGAACGTTGATAATATCTGAACGTTGATGATATCTGAACGTTGATGATACATGAACGTTGATGATATCTGAACGTTGATGATACATGAACGTTGATGATATCTGAACGTTGATGATATCTGAACGTTGATAATATCTGAACGTTGATGATATCTGAACGTTGATGATATCTGAACGTTGATGATACATGAACGTTGATGATATCTGAACGTTGATGATATCTGAACGTTGATGATATCTGAACGTTGATGATATCTGAACGTTGATGATATCTGAACGTTGATAATATCTGAACGTTGATGATATCTGAACGTTGATGATATCTGAACGTTGATGATATCTGAACGTTGATGATACATGAACGTTGATGATACCTGAACGCAACAAAAGAGTCATTCCAGAGCTGTCATCTCTCGTATCAGGAACGCTTGAAGACAACTTGGCTAACAATACTTCAAACCAGGCATGACAGGGCGGGTCTCATTGAAACTTTTAAACTAATGAACAAGTTGGAAGATGTTGACCAGGATATATTCTTCATAAGGTCAGATGTAACACAAACAAGGAGCAACGGTTTCAAGCTCAACAAACTGTTGGACTGAGAACAGGAGATGCTTTTTCACCCATAGGGTTATTAAAAAAATTAACCCCATGGAACCCGCGAAGCCGTAAATGTTTCGTAAAAATTTAATTGGATTTTTAGAACCTAAACACCTAACCTAACCTACGGCTAACTATACATAGAATTTTTATATATAATAATATTAATTTATATATGAGAATAAACCAATGTTTAAACACAGTATGTTAAAATTGACTAATGCGTCTGGGAAGGTCGGGTTGTCTGGGGAGGACGGCCGCTGCTTTAACCAGCCTAGTGTGAGGACGGGTTGTCTAGGGAGGACGGCCGCCGCTTTAACCAGCCTAGTGTGAGGACGGGTTGTCTGGGGAGGACGGCCGCTGCTTTAACCAGTCTAGTGTGAGGACGGGTTGTCTAGGGAGGACGGCCGCCGCTTTAACCAGCCTAGTGTGAGGACGGGTTGTCTGGGGAGGACGGCCGCCGCTTTAACCAGCCTAGTGTGAGGACGGGTTGTCTAGGGAGGACGGCCGCCGCTTTAACCAGCCTAGTGTGAGGACGGGTTGTCTAGGGAGGACGGCCGCCGCTTTAACCAGCCTAGTGTGAGGACGGGTTGTCTGGGGAGGACGGCCGCCGCTTTAACCAGCCTAGTGTGAGGACGGGTTGTCTAGGGAGGACGGCCGCCGCTTTAACCAGCCTAGTGTGAGGACGGGTTGTCTAGGGAGGACGGCCGCTGCTTTAACCAGCCTAGTGTGAGGACGGGTTGCAGGGGTAACAGTGGGCTCTGGAGGTACCACCTTCACGTGAACAACTTGTTGCGTCACAGTGTCGGTATTATACTGGCGGTGCTCACTTGTAGGCTAACATTTGGTGGTTCAGTCGTTAGTACAGTTGGCACCCATGTTATTGGTCTCTGGATCGTTTCCCATATGTTTGGCATCTTGTTTGTTTAGATCTATGTTGGCCTAGCAGTAAATAGGTACCTGGAAGTTAGTGAACTGTAGGTGGCATCCTGAGGTCAGTCCCCACTGGACAAAAACATGAAACAACGTTGAATAAATGTAATTTGCCCAACACATGTACATTGGGGTCATTGGTTACGGGAACTCAGCTAACAGGCTTCCAGACCATTGAGAACGGGAACCTAACTAATTCTTAGACTTTGTTATATATAAATGATTTTCCTTAGTGATACAATTACTTCGGGTATGTGGATAAACTGCATTTTGAAACCAATTGATGAGAGAAGCCTATGGGCCGATACAAATGCTTAAAAAGACTTAACCAAAATATGCATAACAATATTAAAAGCATTAATCACCTGATATACCTAACGACCATCACACATAGTAGTCCTGTTGTGGACTCAAAGATTCTTTCAGTGGCTTACAGCTGCACCGACAGTGTCCTTCCGTGCTAACAATCATGACTGATTTCTCGCTTTCTGGTTAGGAAACAGTTGGACGACGTCTGCTTTAGCTGTAATTGGAGGAAGTTTTGATTGGATCAACATCTGGCAGATGAGAGTCGCTTGTGCATTGTCAAATTCACCGTTGACAAAGTTCACAGGCAGTCCTGCTGTAGTCAGACCCTCTAACAACTGTGTCCGCCATTTAGCGTGCTCCTTCCAAGTAAGGATACATACCCCAAGGCTGCCGATACGTGAATCTAATCCTCTTGAATCCTTTCTCACCCGAATGCATCTCAAAAATTCTTCACTCAAAGAGATATAGCCGTGAGCTAATATTGTCCATTTGATATCGCCAAAAGCAATCATTGTGCAGCTGATTTTCTATATCCTGTTGAAGGATTTTTTTCATTATAGGGGACATAAAACAAGGAGCACGCTTAATGGGGCAACACTCAGCTTTAACATCACAGACTACGCTTCTGGGTTAAATAAGAAGCTGGTTTAAATCAGCAACACTCATTTTTAACACAGCAGACTAGGCTGCTGGAGTAAATAAGGAGCTACTTTAATGGGGCAACGCTCATTTTTAACACAGCATACTAGGCTGCTGGAGTAAATAAGGAGCTACTTTAATGGGGCAACGCTCATTTTTAACACAGCAGACTAGGCTGCTGGAGTAAATAAGGAGCTACTTTAATGGGGTAACGCTCATTTTTAACACAGCAGACTAGGCTGCTGGAGTAAATAAGGAGCTACTTTAATGGGGTAACGCTCATTTTTAACACAGCATACTAGGCTGCTGGAGTAAATAAGGAGCTACTTTAATGGGGTAACGCTCATTTTTAACACAGCATACTAGGCTGCTGGAGTAAATAAGGAGCTACTTTAATGGGGCAACGCTCATTTTTAACACAGCATACTAGGCTGCTGGAGTAAATAAGGAGCTACTTTAATGGGGTAACGCTCATTTTTAACACAGCAGACTAGGCTGCTGGAGTAAATAAGGAGCTACTTTAATGGGGCAACACTCATTTTTAACACAGCATACTAGGCTGCTGGAGTAAATAAGGAGCTACTTTAATGGGGTAACGCTCATTTTTAACACAGCATACTAGGCTGCTGGAGTAAATAAGGAGCTACTTTAATGGGGCAACGCTCATTTTTAACACAGCATACTAGGCTGCTGGAGTAAATAAGGAGCTACTTTAATGGGGCAACGCTCATTTTTAACACAGCATACTAGGCTGCTGGAGTAAATAAGGAGCTACTTTAATGGGGCAACGCTCATTTTTAACACAGCATACTAGGCTGCTGGAGTAAATAAGGAGCTACTTTAATGGGGCAACGCTCATTTTTAACACAGCATACTAGGCTGCTGGAGTAAATAAGGAGCTACTTTAATGGGGCAACGCTCATTTTTAACATCGCAGACTAGGCTGCTGGAGTAAATAAGGAGCTACTTTAATGGGGCAACGCTCATTTTTAACATCGCAGACTAGGCTGCTGGAGTAAATAAGGAGCTACTTTAATGGGGCAACGCTCAATTTTAACATCACCAAACGTTATTTAATAAAAACTTGTAATAGGTGAGGTCTGGTATTTCGCCTGTGAAGCTCTTAATTACACCAACTTGCAATGTATACAACTTAATATTTTGAATAATATATAATTTGTCATCGAGTGCTGCAGCAGCTCAAATATAATGAATACTTGAATAGATCAAGTATTATCATTCCTCAGGCGGTGAATGATAGATTGTTTACAATATTTGTAATTCTGATAGGCATCTTAATCAAATAAATGTACACATGTCACAGGCTTTCTGATTTGCATATCCCTGGCGTTTACCTTACTAACTTACACATTATCCTTTCCCTTCACCTCAAACTAAAAACATCTTTTTTATTTTGACATTTTTCGTCATACGGGGTAAAAATTTTGTTTGTTGTGAAATAAAATCTGGCAAAAATTAGATATATATCATGCCAGATAACAGACACGTCTGTCTCCCTGTTCTCACAATTTTGTCACATAAACTGATAGCAAAACGATACAAGACTCATATATAGAGCTTCCCAAATACTTTCCCAAGTCCCTTATGTCAGACTATTGATACTAAACACTGAAACTCAATGGCAGTAAACACTATTTTTCCTGTTCTTCTTTGTCACAACTTGATAAGGGTCCAGGACGGACTGAAACGTCGTCACATAAGGGTCCAGGACGGACTGAAACGTCGTCACATAAGGGTCCAGGACGGACTGAAACGTCGTCACATAAGGGTCCAGGACGGACCAAAACGTCGTCACATAAGGGTCCAGGACGGACTGAAACGTCGTCACATAAGGGTCCAGGACGGACTGAAACGTCGTCACATAAGGGTCCAGGACGGACCGAAACGTCGTCACATAAGGGTCCAGGACGGACTGAAACGTCGTCACATAAGGGTCCAGGACGGACCGAAACGTCGTCACATAAGGGTCCAGGACGGACCGAAACGTCGTCACATAAGGGTCCAGGACGGACCGAAACGTCGTCACATAAGGGTCCAGGACGGACCGAAACGTCGTCATATAAGGGTCCAGGACGGACCGAAACATCGTCATATAAGGGTCAAGGACGGACCGAAACGTCGTCATATAAGGGTCCAGGACGGACCGAAACGTCGTCATATAAGGGTCCAGGACGGACCGAAACGTCGTCACATAAGGGTCCAGGACGGACCGAAACGTCGTCACATAAGGGTCCAGGACGGACCGAAACGTCGTCACATAAGGGTCCAGGACGGACCGAAACATCGTCACATAAGGGTCCAGGACGGACCGAAACATCGTCACATAAGGGTCCAGGACGGACCGAAACATCGTCACATAAGGGTCCAGGACGGACCGAAACATCGTCACATAAGGGTCCAGGACGGACCGAAACGTCGTCACATAAGGGTCCAGGACGGACCGAAACGTCGTCACATAAGGGTCCAGGACGGACCGAAACATCGTCACATAAGGGTCCAGGACGGACCGAAACATCGTCACATAAGGGTCCAGGACGGACCGAAACATCGTCACATAAGGGTCCAGGACGGACCGAAACATCGTCACATAAGGGTCCAGGACGGACCGAAACGTCGTCACATAAGGGTCCAGGACGGACCGAAACGTCGTCACATAAGGGTCCAGGACGGACCGAAACATCGTCACATAAGAATAAGAAATAAGAAATTTTTAGAAATTACTACTGTAATTACAGAGTTATTGCTACAGATGAAAAAGGGACAGCTTAGCTGTAAATCTAGTGAGGTGTAATCAGTTGCTCCACCGACGACGTGTTGCATAGGGCAAATTGTTGCACGGAACGGTTATTTTGAGATGATTTCGGGGCTTTAGTGTCCCCGCGGCCCGGTCCTCGACCGGGCCTCCACCCCCAGGAAGCAGCCCGTGACAGCTGACTAACTCCCAGGTACCTATTTACTGCTAGGTAACAGGGGCATTCAGGGTGAAAGAAACTTTGCCCATTTGTTTCTGCCTCGTGCGGGAATCGAACCCGCACCACAGAATTACGAGTCCTGCGCGCTACCCACCAGATTACGAGGCCCCGGGTGGGGAAGTCTAACACCTCGGTTGGCGTCGCCTTGGTACTGAAAGACAATTACATTGTAGAAATCTTCTACATAATAAGTAACTACAAATAAATCCTAAATCATGAGGATAACTGTAGGAAATTTCAGCCAATATCTGTGCAATTTATATTCAAGCACTATAAATTTCTTCTAGAGAAATAATGCAAATAATCATCTATTCAGATTGTAAAATTACTCAAGACACGTACGGGATTGTATTATTTGGTCTACGGCCTAACGACAACTAGCCTAAATGTTAATTGTGGCCACATATAACAAAAAGGTAAACCTAGCTGCCGAGCCGCGTGTCCGTGGATGTGGAGACATGAGCAATTCTTCGTCCTCCAGCTGCTGCTTGAAAGGCGTTGACTTTGGAATTGCTCATATGCTAGTCGGGGACACGGCTATTGTGCCAGATAACGTGGCACCGCTCTACTGGTCGTGGGAGCGAAATAAATGGGATCAAAACGTAGCTCTGCTACACGCTGACAATGGCATCCTCGTCGTGCTCTCTCGTGTCTAGTGACGCTCTCCCGTGACCCGTCTTCCTCCTCTTCCTTATTGCGCATGCGCGGCTCTCGATAGACATCTCGAGCGTAAATGTATATGTATATATCGCAATTGACTAAGAAAGGAAGAGGTAGTGACGAGTATTAATATCACATTAAATTCTTCTGGTATAAAATAGAATTTCGCTTAACATAAATTGGCTTATGAAAGTTGTGCAGCTAATCGAGGAAATTAAAGTAAAATCATTTACATCAAAGTAATTTCCTCTAGAATGTTTAATATCAACTAAATAAAGGAGTTCCAGTAAGTAGAAGTATACTACGAAATTAAACTTATTAGTAAGTAACTAATTTTAGTAAAGGAAATGATAAACTGGACTCTTGTTATAAATCCAACTAAATGTGGAGAGAATTCCTGTTACCGCCAAACCGAAACTGTCGCTTCCTCACTTGTCGTCGTACTCTTGCTACTAGGAAGAATCTAGCAACATGTCTAAATAAATCATGATAATGATTAAGTCTACAAGTTAGTGATTTTAGTAACTACTTGTGGTTAATACAAAGGTTGCATAAAATACAAAGATGTATATAACTGTTGGTTATTTCCAACAAAGGTCAGATGATTAAGGTCAGGTGAATAAGGTCAGGTGAATAAGGTCAGATGATTAAGGTCAGGTGAATAAGGTCAGGTGAATAAGGTCAGGTGAATAAGATCAGATGATTAAGGTCAGGTGAATAAGGTCAGGTGAATAAGGTCAGGTGAATAAGGTCAGGTGAATAAGGTCAGGTGAATAAGGTCAGATGATTAAGGTCAGGTGAATAAGGTCAGGTGAATAAGGTCAGATGAATAAGGTCAGGTGATTAAGGTCAGGTGAATAAGGTCAGGTGAATAAGGTCAGGTGAATAAGATCAGGTGAATAAGGTCAGGTGAATAAGGTCAGGTGAATAAGATCAGATGATTAAGGTCAGGTGAATAAGGTCAGGTGAATAAGGTCAGGTGAATAAGGTCAGGTGAATAAGATCAGATGATTAAGGTCAGGTGAATAAGGTCAGGTGAATAAGATCAGTGCCTTCACATGAACACTTGGGGACTGTCGGCCCCCAACGCTCTCACTATAAAGGCTCGACCACCGCCTCATTTGGCACACCAAAAATGGCTCTATCATAGAGTCCATGACTTCGAGACACAATTAAGCAATCCACAGAATGTTCCTGACCAGCAACACCAAAACCATTCGCCATATTGGCCATTAGAGCCGGATATAGCAGAAGTACTTGACATCAAACACGCTGTGAGGGGGGTTTGATGTCACCCTTTGCTCATCCACTGCTCGACATCCTTCAGTCATCCACACCTCCTCACTCATCCACTGTTTTACACCCTTATCCACTTCACTACACCCGACCCCTTCACTGCACCAGGAGTCTCACGATTGTCATGTAACCGTTCCCTCGCTGCAACCCATCAGGACAATCCTACAATCGTCTCCACACCACCATCATGGCCGAAGGCAGGCTGAGAGAGGCCATGTACCATCGGGTCAAAAAGGAACTTCACCTCATGAGGAAGAACTCCATCAGGTTCTCCTACGGCATTGTGAGTTACCGTAGAAATAGAGCTGGGCGCTGGGCCTTCTGTGTCATGGGGTAGAGCTGGGCGCCGGGCTTTCTCTGTCCTGCTGCCTCGCTAAGCTTTGTTGCTGCTGGGCCGATGGTTCTTTTCGGTGGCGTCAGCTGAATGGTTTAACCTTCTTGTTATTTGTAGTATTATTTGTATCAATATTGCTTTTGTTGTTAATATTTTTGTCTTAGCTGATATTAACAGTGTCTTTGTTAGTGTTAACAGTTCATTTGTGGCAATTATTATTGATGTTGTTAATAAGTAGCCTAGTTAAAGTATTGTGGGTTGTCCTCATATCCCAGCTCCTTGTCCTCATATCCAAGCTCCTTGTCGCCATATCCCAGCTCCTTGTCCTCATATCCAAGCTCCTTGTCGCCATATCCCAGCTCCTTGTCCTCATATCCCAGCTCCTTGTTCTCATATCCCAGCTCCTTGTCCTCATACCCCAGCTCCTCTCATACCCCAGCTCCTTGTCCTCATATCCCAGTTCTCATATCCCAGCTCCTTGTCCTCATACCCCAGCTCCTTGTCCTCATATCCCAGCTCCTTGTTCTCATATCCCAGCTCCTTGTCCTCATACCCCAGCTCCTTGTCCTCATATCCCAGCTCCTTGTTCTCATATCCCAGCTCCTTGTCCCCATATCCCAGCTCCTTGTCCTCATATCCCAGCTCCTTGTCCTCATATCCCAGCTCCTTGTCCTCATATCCCAGCTCCTTGTCCCCATATCCCAGCTCCTGGTCCTCATATCCCAGCTCCTGGTCCTCCTATCCCAGCTCCTTTCTCCTGATAATTACTTTACGTTGCCGCGTTAAAATAACTCAAAGGTTTAATCATGTATGTAATAGTCAGTCATGTTTGTGTAAACGATGTTTTCCCTGATTTACAAACGTGACTGTCACGTCTGTATATATGTTACACGTGACTGTCACGTCTATATATATATATATATATATATATATATATATATATATATATATATATATATATATATATATATATATATATATATATATATATATATATATATATATATATATATATATATGTCGTACCTAGTAGCCAGAACGCATTTCTCGGCCTACTATGCAAGGCCCGATTTGCCTAATAAGCCAAGTTTTCCTGAATTAATATATTTTCTCTAATTTTTTTCTTATGAAATGATAAAGCTAACCATTTCATTATGTATGAGGTCAATTTGTTTTATTGGAGTTAAAATTAACGTAGATATATGACCGAACCTAACCAACCCTACCTAACCTAACCTAACCAATCTTTATAGGTTAGGTTAGGTTAGGTAGCAGAAAAAGTTAGGTTAGGTTAGGTTAGGTAGGTTAGGTTGTCGAAAATCAATTAATTCATGAAAACTTGGCTTATTAGGCAAATCGGGCCTTGCATAGTAGGCTGAGAAGTGCGTTCTGGCTACTAGGTACGACATATATATATATATATATATATATATATATATATATATATATATATATATATATATATATGTCGTACCTAATAGCCAGAACGCACTTCTCAGCCTACTATTCAAGGCCCGATTTGCCTAATAAGCCAAGTTTTCATGAATTAATGTTTTTTCGTCTACCTAACCTACCTAACCTAACCTAACCTAGCTTTTTTGGCTGCCTAACCTAACCTTACCTATAAATATAGGTTAGGTTAGGTTAGGTAGGGTTGGTTAGGTTCGGTCATATATCTACGTTAATTTTAACTCCAATAAAAAAAAATTGACCTCATACATAGAGAAAAGGGTTGCTTTATCATTTCATAAGAAAAAAATTATAGTAAATATATTAATTCAGGAAAACTTGGCTTATTAGGCAAATCGGGCCTTGAATAGTAGGCTGAGAAGTGAGTTCTGGCTACTAGGTACGACATATATATATATATATATATATATATATATATATATATATATATATATATATATATATATATATATATATATATATATATATATATATATATATATATGTCGTACCTAGTAGCCAGAACTCACTTCTCAGCCTACTATTCAAGGCCCGATTTGCCTAATAAGCCAAGTTTTCCTGAATTATTATATTTACTATAATTTTTTTCTTATGAAATGATAAAGCAACCCTTTTCTCTATGTATGAGGTCAATTCGTTTTATTGGAGTTAAAATTAACGTAGATATATGACCGAACCTAACCAACCCTACCTAACCTAACCTAACCTATATTTATAGGTAAGGTTAGGTTAGGTAGCCAAAAAAAGCTAGGTTAGGTTAGGTTAGGTAGGTTAGGTAGACGAAAAAACATTAATTCATGAAAACTTGGCTTATTAGGCAAATCGGGCCTTGAATAGTAGGCTGAGAAGTGCGTTCTGGCTATTAGGTACGACATATATATATATATATATATATATATATATATATATATATATATATATATATATATATATATATATATATATATATACGTGACAGTCACGTGTAACATATATACAGACGTGACAGTCACGTTACATATATATATATATATATATATATATATATATATATATATATATATATATATATATATATATATATATATATGTCGTACCTAGTAGCCAGAACTCACTTTTTGGCCTACTATGCAAGGCCCGATTTGCCTAATAAGCCAAGTTTTTCTGAATTAATATATTTTTTCTAATTTTTTTCTTATGAAATGATAAAGCTACCCATTTCATTATGTATGAGGTCAATTTTCTTTTATTGTAGTTAAAATTAACGTAGATATATGACCGAACCTAACCAACCCTACCTAACCTAACCTAACCTATCTTTGTAGGTTAGGTTTGGTTAGGTAGCCGAAAAAGTTAGGTTAGGTTAGGTTAGGTAGGTTAGGTAGTCGAAAAACAATTAATTCATGAAAACTTGGCTTATTAGGCAAATCGAGCCTTGCATAGTAGGCTGAGAAGTGCGTTCTGGCTACTAGGTACGACATATATATATATATATATATATATATATATATATATATATATATATATATATATATATATATATATATATATATATATATATATATATATTGGTAGCAGTCTTTCCTGTAGAAATATATTATTAAATATGACCGAAAAAGTAAGATTAATAATTCTAACACGAATTTTCTCAATCTTTCGTACATTTCTTTTCACTGCTGGTGGTAATTCAAATACCCACCTCAAGACTCCGCTCCAATATAGAAGCATCAAGAAATATGGACCAATAGGCTTTCTGCAATCACTTCCATTCAATACCCATTGTTTCGTGTTCTGTCTTGTGTTGATGAATTTAATACCCTATTAATACCACCTCACCCCATCCACCTCACTCAAATGTAGATATAAACAAATCGGAGATGTGTAAGTTCTATTCAATTGTGTATGTGTAAACTAAAGTCTTTGAAAATGTAATAAGTTTTACGAAACGCGCTCAAGTGTCGCGTCAGACTAGAAATAAAAATGAATTTTGGAGAATTGATTTTTGAATTACCACCAGCAGTGAAAAGAAATGTACGAAAGATTGAGAAAATTCGTGTTAGAATTATTAATCTTACTTTTTCGGTCATATTTAATAATATATATATATATATATATATATATATAAGGTGGATGGGGTGAGGTGGTATTAATAGGGTATTAATTTCATCAACACAAGACAGAACACGAAACAATGGGTATTGAATGGAAGTGATTGTAGATTGAGAAAATTCGTGTTAGAATTATTAATCTTACTTTTTCGGTCATATTTAATAATATATGTCTACAGGAAAGACTGCTACCAAAATATACTTATATATATATATATATATATATATATATATATATATATATATATATATATATATATATATATATATATATATATATATATATATATATATATATATGTTAAATGTTCTTGTAACTCTGTATGTAATGTGTGTGGGAATCATTTTGTCACCCCTTAATCCACATATTAATTTATATTTAATATAAAAATCATTTGATTTGCTTGAGAACTGTAATGATAATATTCTGTATGTGTGTATATCAGCTGTGTTCTGTATCCTCTTAATATGTATAGTCTTAATATGTGAGAATCATGGGGGGGTTTAAAGGGGGGTTCGAAGGCGTGTCCTGGGTCACCCCCAGACGCGCACCTTAATCCACCGGACCAGGATAAATCTGGAGTGACTCCTAGGACGCTTGTTCGAACTCTGCCCTGCTCCAATGATTTTCACAAAATTATATGACGCTATTGTGATTTCACTGTGTAGTGTTAGTATATATATTCAGACACTGTTGCACACGTTACTTTTCACCTCATACCTCTCTTCACCTAGCAGGAAAATAGGTATATCCTGGCTAGGTCATGTTGATGCTAGTGCTGCCACTCACCTCCACGTCTCTCCCACAGGTGACCTACGCCAGGAGAATGGTGCCCCCGAGAATGTATCCCTACGGCGAGTCTTTCCTGGCTTACTGTCAAAAGTGGGCAAGGGTAAGTCTTACTACCAGAAAGTCTTTGGGCTACGGATCGAACCCGCGTCCTGCGGAACACATGCGAGCCATAACCCGTGGACCACCCTATCCTCCTCCTATATTCTAATGGTTATACAACCTAGGATCCGCCAAGACATGCTCGGGGGGAGAAGTCTAATACCTGGTCTTAGTGTGTGTGTGACTTATGAGCGAAAGACTTAGATTGGCCACCAGCTCGGTGTCTTAAGACTTCAAATGGGTCCAGACGGATCCGAGAGACTGTTGGAGTGAACCAGTGACTGTAGGAGTGAACCAGTGACTGTTGGAGTGAACCAGTGACTGTAGGAGTGAACCAGTGACTGTTGGGGTGAACCAGTGACTGTTGGGGTGAACCAGTGACTGTTGGAGTGAACCGGTGACTGTTGGAGTGAACCAATGACTGTAGGAGTGAACCAGTGACTGTTGGAGTGAACCAGTGACTGTAGGAGTGAACCAGTGACTGTAGGAGTGAACCAGTGACTGTAGGGGTGAACCAGTGACTGTAGGAGTGAACCAGTGACTGTAGGAGTGAACCAGTGACTGTAGGAGTGAACCAGTGACTCTAGGAGTGAACCAGTGACTCTAGGAGTGAACCAGTGACTGTTGGAGTGAACCAGTGACTGTTGGAGTGAACCAATGACTGTTGGAGTGAACCAGTGACTGTTGGAGTGAACCAGTGACTGTAGGAGTGAACCAGTGACTGTAGGAGTGAACCAGTGACTGTTGGAGTGAACCAGTGACTGTAGGAGTGAACCAGTGACTGTTGGGGTGAACCAGTGACTGTTGGGGTGAACCAGTGACTGTTGGAGTGAACCAGTGACTGTTGGAGTGAACCAGTGACTGTAGGAGTGAACCAGTGACTGTAGGAGTGAACCAGTGACTGTAGGAGTGAACCAGTGACTGTAGGAGTGAACCAGTGACTGTAGGAGTGAACCAGTGACTGTAGGAGTGAACCAGTGACTGTTGGAGTGAACCAGTGACTGTAGGAGTGAACCAGTGACTGTAGGAGTGAACCAGTGACTGTTGGAGTGAACCAGTGACTGTAGGAGTGAACCAGTGACTGTTGGAGTGAACTAGTGACTGTTGGAGTGAACCAGTGACTGTAGGAGTGAGCCAGTGACTGTAGGAGTGAACCAGTGACTGTTGGAGTGAACCAGTGACTGTAGGAGTGAACCAGTGACTGTTGGAGTGAACCAGTGACTGTAGGAGTGAACCAGTGACTGTAGGAGTGAACCAGTGACTGTTGGGGTGAACCAGTGACTGTTGGAGTGAACCAGTGACTGTTGGAGTGAACCAGTGACTGTAGGAGTGAACCAGTGACTGTTGGAGTGAACCAGTGACTGTAGGAGTGAACCAGTGACTGTTGGAGTGAACCAGTGACTGTTGGAGTGAACCAGTGACTGTAGGAGTGAACCAGTGACTGTAGGAGTGAACCAGTGACTGTAGGGGTGAACCAGTGACTGTAGGAGTGAACCAGTGACTGTAGGAGTGAACCAGTGACTGTAGGAGTGAACCAGTGACTGTTGGAGTGAACCAGTGACTGTTGGAGTGAACCAGTGACTGTAGGAGTGAACCAGTGACTGTTGGAGAGAACCAGTGACTGTAGGAGTGAACCAGTGACTGTAGGAGTGAACCAGTGACTGTAGGAGTGAACCAGTGACTGTAGGAGTGAACCAGTGACTGTTGGAGTGAACCAGTGACTGTAGCAATTAACCAGTGACTGTAGGAGTGAACCAGTGACTGTAGGAGTGAACCAGTGACTGTTGGAGTGAACCAGTGACTGTAGCAATTAACCAGTGACTGTACTCTCCCGTTCTCTGTTTTGGATCCTCTGGCAGGTTAGGATAAGGGCACCATAATTAAATTGACCGTTTTCTTTAACCTTAAGAGGACGGGATAGTACAAAAACAGACTTTTGTCAACAATGGTAATATTGAGCTCTATTATTTTTGTAAAAGCTACTGAAAAAATGGACAATAAAATTTGCTTAACATTTTTAGGCCTAATATAGCACATATATGTATTAAATTAGGCCTAAAATAGCACATGTATTAAATTAGGCCTAAAATAGCACATGTATTAAATTAGGCCTAAAATAGCACATGTATTAAATTAGGCCTAAAATAGCTCATATATGTATTAAATTAGGCTTAATATAGCACATGTATTAAATTAGGCCTAATATAGAACATATATGTATTAAATTAGGCCTAAAATAGCACATGTATTAAATTAGGCCTAAAATAGCACATGTATTAAATTAGGCCTAAAATAGCACATGTATTAAATTAGGCCTAATATAGCACATATATGTATTAAATTAGGCCTAATATAGCACATATATGTATTAAATTAGGCCTAATATAGCACATATATGTATTAAATTAGGCCTAATATAGCACATATATGTATTAAATTAGGCCTAAAATAGCACATGTATTAAATTAGGCCTAAAATAGCACATGTATTAAATTAGGCCTAAAATAGCACATGTATTAAATTAGGCCTAATATAGCACATATATGTATTAAATTAGGCCTAATATAGCACATATATGTATTAAATTAGGCCTAAAATAGCACATGTATTAAATTAGGCCTAAAATAGCACATGTATTAAATTAGGCCTAAAATAGCACATGTATTAAATTAGGCCTAATATAGCACATGTATTAAATTAGGCCTAATATAGCACATATATGTATTAAATTAGGCCTAACATGACGAATATTAGACCTAAATTTGCTTTTTTTAGTCTTAAGCCAATTTGGGTTAGGTTCGTTAGTTAATTTTAGTTTTCTTTAGTGTGCCATTTAAAGTTGTCAAATGTTAGAAAATGTGACGTTCTTTCTTTGAGCCCCAACAGTCAATTTTTGTACGTTTGAGTAAATAGTTGTGACAAGAAAATTTAAACTATGCCCCGAGGGGCGAGTTTATTGGGCAGCGCCACTCATCTTGTGAGTGGACACGCCGCCATAGTGACAGTATTGGGCAGCGCCACTCATCCTGTGAGTGGACACGCCGCCATAGTGACAGTATTGGGCAGCGCCACTCATCCTGTGAGTGGACACACCGCCATAGTGACAGTATTGGGCAGCGCCACTCATCCTGTGAGTGGACACGCCGCCATAGTGACAGTATTGGGCAGCGTCACTCATCCTGTGAGTGGACACGCCGCCATAGTGACAGTATTGGGCAGCGTCACTCATCCTGTGAGTGGACACACCGCCATAGTGACAGTATTGGGCAGCGCCACTCATCCTGTGAGTGGACACGCCGCCATAGTGACAGTATTGGGCAGCGTCACTCATCCTGTGAGTGGACACGCCGCCATAGTGACAGTATTGGGCAGCGCCACTCATCCTGTGAGTGGACACGCCGCCATAGTGACAGTATTGGGCAGCGCCACTCATCCTGTGAGTGGACACGCCGCCATAGTGACAGTATTGGGCAGCGCCACTCATCCTGTGAGTGGACACGCCGCCATAGTGACAGTATTGGGCAGCGTCACTCATCCTGTGAGTGGACACACCGCCATAGTGACAGTATTGGGCAGCGCCACTCATCCTGTGAGTGGACACGCCGCCATAGTGACAGTATTGGGCAGCGCCACTCATCCTGTGAGTGGACACGCCGCCATAGTGACAGTATTGGGCAGCGTCACTCATCCTGTGAGTGGACACGCCGCCATAGTGACAGTATTGGGCAGCGCCACTCATCCTGTGAGTGGACACGCCGCCATAGTGACAGTATTGGGCAGCGCCACTCATCTTGTGAGTGGACACGCCGCCATAGTGACAGTATTGGGCAGCGCCACTCATCCTGTGAGTGGACACGCCGCCATAGTGACAGTATTGGGCAGCGCCACTCATCTTGTGAGTGGACACGCCGCCATAGTGACAGTATTGGGCAGCGCCACTCATCCTGTGAGTGGACACGCCGCCATAGTGACAGTATTGGGCAGCGCCAATCATCCTGTGAGTGGACACGCCGCCATAGTGACAGTATTGGGCAGCGCCACTCATCCTGTGAGTGGACACGCCGCCATAGTGACAGTATTGGGCAGCGCCACTCATCTTGTGAGTGGACACGCCGCCATAGTGACAGTATTGGGCAGCGCCACTCATCCTGTGAGTGGACACACCGCCATAGTGACAGTATTGGCCAGCGCCACTCATCCTGTGAGTGGACACACCGCCATAGCAGCATGTACAACACTCCCCAATAGGAAGAAAACCCGCTGGGTTGTTCACCCTGTCACTTGTACCCAGACACAGCTGGGACTTGCTTATGACAAGAAGTATGGGTATTGGAGGCCAGGCTAAACTACCAGTGTTTCATGACATTGAGAGATATAAGAATTTTGCACCAAGATTGTAATATTTTGTTGAATTATCTGCAGGTGTCTTGCAAATTGTCTATACAGTATACCTAGGTCATAAAAGTATTTGTGTGTACGTCTGATAACATACTACTTGTGAGGGAGGAAATAATAATAATAATAATAATAATTTTTATTTAGGCAAAGGTACATACATAAAGAGATTTTACAAAGTTTGTTGGCTTTATAGATAAGAGCTAGTACATACAATGCCTAAAGCCACTATTACGCAAAGCGTTTCGGGCAAATGTATATGTTTATCTCTCAGAATGTTTGCTAATGTGTTTATTGTTTGTGATGTGTGTATATGTATGTATTAACACGTTGTACTGAACGGGGTGAGAATAGCTTGAGCTACCTCATCCCTTTGTGTGTATTTTACCTCAATAAACTTATTTCAATTTCAATTTCAATGACCTGGGGCCAGATTCACGAAAGCACTTACGCAAAAACTTACGAACCTGTACATCTTTTCTTAATCTTTGGCGACTTTGTTTCCAATTATTAAACAGTTAAAGAGCTCCGAAGCACCAGGAGGCTGTTTATAACAATAACAACAGTTGATTGACAAGTTTTCATGCTTGTAAACTGTTTAATAAATGTAACAAAAGCCGTCAAAGATTGAGGAACGATGTACACGTTCGTAAGTGCTTGCGTAAGTGCCTTTGTGAATCTGGCCCCAGGTTCGTAAGTGCTTGCGTAAGTGCTCTTGTGAATCTGGCCCCAGGTTCGTAAGTGCTTGCGTAAGTGCTTTTGTGAATCTGGCCCCAGGTTCGTAAGTGCTTGCGTAAGTGCTTTTGTGAATCTGGCCCCAGGTTCGTAAGTGCTTGCGTAAGTGCTTTTGTGAATCTGGCCCCAGGTTCGTAAGTGCTTTTGTGAATCTGGCCCCAGGTTCGTAAGTGCTTGCGTAAGTGCTCTTGTGAATCTGGCCCCAGGTTCGTAAGTGCTTGCGTAAGTGCTTTTGTGAATCTGGCCCCAGGTTCGTAAGTGCTTGCGTAAGTGCTTTTGTGAATCTGGCCCCAGGTTCGTAAGTGCTTGCGTAAGTGCTTTTGTGAATCTGGCCCCAGGTTCGTAAGTGCTTGCGTAAGTGCTTTTGTGAATCTGGCCCTTGTTGTACAGGAGCTCGAGCTATGGGAGCTGGCGGCCCCGGTACAGGAGGCCTGGAGCAGCGACAAGCACTTCCTCGGCAAGGTCCTGGCTCTCGCGCGGGCCCTCTGCGTCGCTTACCTCGCTGTGAGTACCCTGTGTGTCTCCTGTGTCCTGTGTCTGTGTCTCCTGTGTCCTGTGTCATGTGTCTGTGTCTCCTCTGTGTGTCATGTGTCTGTGTGTCCTGTGTCATGTGTATGTGTCTCCTCTGTGTGTCTTGTGTCTCCTCTGTGTGTCCTGTGTCTGTCTCTCCTCTGTGTGTCATGTGTATGTGTCTCCTCTGTGTGTCTTGTGTCTCCTCTGTGTGTCCTGTGTCTCTTATGTGTCCTGTATCATGTGTCTGTGTCTCCTCTGTGTGTCCTGTGTCTCTTCTGTGTCATGTGTCTGTGTCTCCTCTGTCTGTCCTGTGTCTGTGTCTCCTCTATGTGTCCTGTGTGTCGTGTGTCATGTTTACTTCCAATCTTTCCTCGGTATAATATGGACTTTTTCCGGGAGCTTCGTTATTGTTCCGAGTCTGTATCCTCTGGTGTACCGTCTGTATCCTCTGGTGTACCGTCTGTATCCTCTGGTGTACCGTCTGTATCCTCTGGTGTACCGTCTGTATCCTCTGGTGTACCGTCTGTATCCTCTGGTGTACCGTCTGTATCCTCTGGTGTACCGTCTGTATCCTCTGGTGTACCGTCTGTATCCTCTGGTGTACCGCCTGTATCCTCTGGTGTACCGTCTGTATCCTCTGGTGTACCGTCTGTATCCTCTGGTGTACCGTCTGTATCCTCTGGTGTACCGTCTGTATCCTCTGGTGTACCGTCTGTATCCTCTGGTGTACCGTCTGTATCCTCTGGTGTACCGTCTGTATCCTCTGGTGTACCGTCTGTATCCTCTGGTGTACCGCCTGTATCCTCTGGTGTACCGTCTGTATCCTCTGGTGTACCGTCTGTATCCTCTGGTTTACCGTCTGTATCCTCTGGTGTACCGTCTGTATCCTCTGGTGTACCGTCTGTATCCTCTGGTGTACCGTCTGTATCCTTTGGTGTACCGTCTGTATCCTCTGGTGTACCGTCTGTATCCTCTGGTGTACCGTCTGTATCCTCTGGTGTACCGCCTGTATCCTCTGGTGTACCGTCTGTATCCTCTGGTGTACCGTCTGTATCCTCTGGTGTACCGCCTGTATCCTCTGGTGTACCGTCTGTATCCTCTGGTGTACCGTCTGTATCCTCTGGTGTACCGTCTGTATCCTCTGTTATTGTTATTGCATGTATCAGGTTGGTGAACCTGGCATGTATCATGTTGGTGAACCTGGCATGTATCATGCTGGTGATCCTAGCATGTATCATGTTGGTGACCCTGGCATGTATTATGTTGGTGAACCTGGCATGTATCATGTTGGTGAACCTGGCATGTATCATGTTGGTGAACCTGGCATGTATCATGTTGGTGAACCTGGCATGTATCATGCTGGTGATCCTAGCATGTATCATGTTGGTGAACCTGGCATGTATCATGCTGGTGAACCTGGCATGTATCATGTTGGTGAACCTGGCATGTATCATGCTGGTGATCCTAGCATGTATCATGTTGGTGAACCTGGCATGTATCATGCTGGTGAACCTGCACGTATCATGTAGGTGAACCTGCATGTATCATGTTGGTGAACCTGGCATGTATCATGTTGGTGAACCTGGCATGTATCATGCTGGTGATCCTAGCATGTATCATGTTGGTGAACCTGGCATGTATCATGCTGGTGAACCTGCACGTATCATGTAGGTGAACCTGCATGTATCATGTTGGTGAACCTGGCATGTATCATGTTGGTGACACGCAGCACTACACATCCCTCATAAGCCTAACACCAACCTCGTGTTCCCCGCAGTTTTTGCTTCGTCTGGCGAAAGGAAAGAAGAGTCGCCGGACGCGGTCGATGCGCTCGGAGAGTTTCCGGCGGCGGACGCAGAATCTGACCTGCGGCAACAGTTCGCTGCCCCTCAGCCCCTCCGCCCTTCAGCAGTCGTCAGAGCCAACGCCCTCACATCCCCTGGGGGTAGTCCCCCCCGCGGGTCTCCAGGAGGCAGCCCCGAAGGAAGACGAGGATTCGGACGATTCTCACCCAGAAAACAACGTTCTGATAAGTAAAGAGAATCCGACTTCGCGCGCTGATGCCGACCGCACCATCTTGCCCATTGACGAGGAAGAGGAATCGGACGAAGACTCGAAGGGCAAGAAGGATCCCGACCACGACATTAGCGAAGACTCGATAGCTTCGCTGGACGAGGGAGGGAAGGACAGCGGGTTCTCAGACAAGAGGAGCGAGGACGAGGACCACGGTGGCCTGCCGGAGAGACCGCCGCTCAAGAAAGAGGTCACCATCGCCGCGGAGTCCTCGCCGCCTCTTCACAAACACAAATTTAAATTTAATCGCGGGAAGAAAAATTTGAGTGCCACTTATTAACTGTGTCGCTAGCGGCGGTATATATAAGTTACCCCTGAAAGATATATATATATATATATATATATATATATATATATATGTATATATATATATATATATATATATATATATATATATATATATATATATATATATGTGTGTGTGTGTGTGTGTGTGTGTGTGTGTGTGTGTGTGTCTGTATTTACTATTTGTGTGTGTCTTCAGATTTGAGATTCGAGCTTTTAGCTCTTGGACCCCGCCTTTCTAAGCAATCTATTTTCCTCTATTATATCTACTACATATGTTTCTCTCTAACACACACATTCCCCTGGAAGCAGCTCGTAACAGCTATCTAACTCCCAGGTACCTATTTACTGCTAGGTGAACAGGTGCACCAGGCCCTAAGGACTACGACCTCCGAGCGCTATCCACTCAGCTGTAAGACCCATGTATCGAGTGTAATTACCTAAGTGTTAATTACGTAAGTGTAGTTACAGGATGAGAGCTACGCTCGAGGTGTCCCGTCTTCCCAGCACTCTTTGTCATAAAATGCTTTGAAGTGTGTGTGTGTGTGTGTGTGTGTGTGTACTCACCTAATTGTACTCACCTAATTGTGCTTGCGGGGGTTGAGCTCTGGCTCTTTGGTCCCGCCTCTCAACCGTCAATCAACTGGTGTACAGATTCCTGAGCCTATTGGGCTCTATCATATCTACATTTGAAACTGTGTATGGAGTCAGCCTCCACCACATCACTTCCTAATGCATTCCATTTACTAACTACTCTGACACTGAAAAAGTTCTTTCTAACGTCTCTGTGGCTCATTTGGGTACTCAGCTTCCACCTGTGTCCCCTTGTTCGCGTCCCACCAGTGTTGAATAGTTCATCCTTGTTTACCCGGTCGATTCCCCTGAGGATTTTGTAGGTTGTGATCATGTCCCCCCTTACTCTTCTGTCTTCCAGTGTCGTGAGGTGCATTTCCCGCAGCCTTTCCTCATAACTCATGCCTCTTAGTTCTGGGACTAGTCTAGTAGCATACCTTTGGACTTTTTCCAGCTTCGTCTTGTGCTTGACACATGTGTGCGTGTGTGTGTGTGTGTGTGTGTGTGTGTGTGTGTGTGTGTATTCACCTATTTGTGCTTGCGGGGGTTGAGCTCCAGCTCTTTGGTTCCGCCTCTCAACTGTCAATCAACTGATGTACAGGTTCCTGAGCCTACTAGGCTCTATCATATCTACATTTGAAACTATGTATGGAGTCAGCCTCCACCACATCACTGCCTAATGCATTCCATGTTTGTGTGTGTGTGTGTGTGTGTGTGTGTGTGTGTGTGTGTGTGTTAGGAGATGGATTTTAATTTCATTACAAAATTTCTCAGCCAAAAGTATAAACATTAAGAATATTAATTAAAATACTTAGAACCCGACCAATATATACAAAACACTTAAACTGTAAAAGAAACCTGACAACCTATTTCCAGAACAAGCAGTCCTCAAGCTAGGATCATTAAAGCAGCGGCCGTCCCCCCCCCCTCCCCCTCTCAAGACGTATTCATCAATTTAAACATACTGTGTATTCAACATGGGGTTCTTCTCATATAAATTAAATATTATATTGTGCATATATAGTATTAAGGTGTTTAGTTCTATATATAGTTCAACGTTGTGGTTCGAAGTTCTTTTGATGATTATTTGTCCTTGAAGTACTTGGGTGAAGCATTTACAGAGTTACGATTCGATCAGCGAAGCACTGTTCAAGACATGTTCGAACGTCATCAGTCGTTCGTAAACCGTTTTTCATTTATAAACAGGATGTTTGGCGGCTGGATTATCGAGCATTTGCGCATTATTGATGAGGACGGGCTGAAATGCCAGCCCGTTCAACAAACAAAGACCCAAAAGTGATTCCATCCACCCGCCAAACCCGCTGTTCATGAATGAAAAACGGTTTACACACGACTCACAACTGATGAGGTTCGAACACTTCCGGAACAAGTGCTTCACTGACGACTGGTGTTCGAATCACAACGCTGTAAATGCTTCACCCACGTACTACAAATACAAATAATCGCCAACAGAACCTAAACACCTAACCTAACCTATGCCTACATATGCACAATATTCTAATATATTGTAATATTAATTTATATTTGAGAAAATTCCCGTTTTGAATGAACAGCATGTTAAAAATTTTGCATGCGTCTGGGGGGGGTCGACCGCTGGATGGAATGGACTAGAGTCGAGGACGGGTTAGTAAATGCTTCACCCACTTACTACAAATACAGATAATCACCAACAGAACTAACCTAAGCAGTGCCTAAATACGCACAGTATACTAATATATAACAATATTAATTTATATTTGAGAAAATTCCTATTTTGCAAGAACAGCGTGTTAAATATAATAGACAAATGCTTCTTTGGGGGTCGACCGCTGGATGGAATGGACTTGGCCTCGGGACCTTCCCGGATTGGTGCCTTCTTTTGATAATTACTTACTTGGCCTCAGGACGGGTTGGCGCACGGGTTATGTTGAGGTCTAATCTGAAACAAGTGAAAATCAATGGAGTGAATTCTCTTGCAAGTGAGAGGTTGACTGATGGATTCACAGTGAGGCGACGTGCCTGAGAGACAGACCTGCACGGTAAGAGAGACCCGTTGTGTTCACAGTTACGGTGTTGGGGGTACCGTGCGTTCCCCCCCCCCCCCCCCTCGTGTCGAGCATTCCATATCGTACATTTAGACAGACAACACAGGATCTGAACTCAAAAGGCAGAGGATCTCTGCTATAAACAGGTTCTAATAGAAGATTGTCATCCACGCTGAGCCGGTCGGCCGAGCGGACAGCACGCTGGACTTGTGATCCTGTGGTCCTGGGTTCGATCCCAGGCGCCGGCGAGAAACAATGGGCAGAGTTTCTTTCACCCTATGCCCCTGTTACGTAACAGTAAAATAGGTACCTGGGTGTTAGTTAGCTGTCACGGGCTGCTTCCTGGGGGTGGAGGCCTGGTCGAAGACCGGGCCGCGGGGACACTAAAGCCCTGAAATCATCTCAAGATAACGCTTCCTTAGAAATAAACACACAAACACACACGTTACTTATAGCGTACAGTGTCCAGGGGTTCGAGGCGTGTGCATGGGAGTACCCACGGTGGCAAGTTCGAATCCGCCGCACGGCTCCAAATCGCTTTTCCCCGTGTTATTGGTGAACCCAAATTGGCAGTTTATCTGTAGTTAAGTCCCGTTAAGTTAGGAAAGTGCTTTACACATATGATATGTTGTACTACCCAAGTGTAAGTCCTGTGTGTGTATACGGGGTAGCTTGATACACCCACCTGTGGCTGTATGTATCCTGCACATGGTATATTACTACTTTGCTTGCTGCTTTATGTCCAGCCATGACTGCGTGAGCCCTCGAGTGATAGGTAAACTGCTATACTTGAGCCCTCAAGTTATAGGTAAACTCATAGGTAAACTGCTATGCTTGAGCCCTCGAGTGATAGGTAAACTGCTATGCTTGAGCCCTCGAGTGATAGGTAAACTGTTATGCTTGAGCCCTCGAGTGATAGGTAAACTGTTATGCTTGAGCCCTCGAGTGATAGGTAAACTGTTATGCTTGAGCCCTCGAGTGATAGGTAAACTGCTATACTTGAGCCCTCGAGTGATAGGTAAACTGTTATGCTTGAGCCCTCGAGTGATGGGTAAACTGTTATGCTTGAGCCCTCGCGTGATAGGTAAACTGCTATGCTTGAGCCCTCGAGTGATAGGTAAACTGCTATGCTTGAGCCCTCGAGTGATAGGTAAACTGCTATGCTTGAGCCCTCGAGTGATAGGTAAACTGTTATGCTTGAGCCCTCGAGTGATAGGTAAACTGTTATGCTTGAGCCCTCGAGTGATAGGTAAACTGCTATACTTGAGCCCTCGAGTGATAGGTAAACTGTTATGCTTGAGCCCTCGAGTGATAGGTAAACTGTTATGCTTGAGCCCTCGAGTGATAGGTAAACTGTTATGCTTGAGCCCTCGAGTGATAGGTAAACTGTTATGCTTGAGCCCTCGAGTGATAGGTAAACTGTTATGCTTGAGCCCTCGAGTGATAGGTAAACTGCTAAGCTTGAGCCCTCGAGTGATAGGTAAACTGCTAAGCGCGTGCTTGCCTTCTTATAGTCATTATATAGGATTTGGTTTCCAAGCACCTGCTTACTCTTCTAGGTTTACCTTCCAGACCCCTGTTCTCTGTACAAAGGTTTACCTTCCAGACCCCTGTTCTCTGTACAAAGGTTTACCTACCAGACCCCTGTTCTCGGTACAAAGGTTTACCTTCCAGACCCCTGTTCTCTATACAAAGGTTTACCTTCCAGACCCCTGTTCTCTGTACAAAGGTTTACCTACCAGACCCCTGTTCTCGGTACAAAGGTTTACCTTCCAGACCCCTGTTCTCTGTACAAAGGTTTACCTTCCAGACCCCTGTTCTCTGTACAACGGTTTACCTTCCAGACCCCTGTTCTCTGTACAACGGTTTACCTTCCAGACCCCTGTTCTCTGTACAACGGTTTACCTACCATACCCCTGTTCTCTGTACAACGGTTTACCTTCCAGACCCCTGTTCTCTGTACAACGGTTTACCTTCCAGACCCCTGTTCCCTGTACAACGGAGTAGAGTAATTAGTGTACTTAATTTGGTGTTTTGTGAAGCAAGTTTACAATGTTTTGGTTTGATCAACTTACTGTTAAGTTGAGAGAGGAATTTAAGGTTTAAGATTTGTGTTTTGGTGTTGGACTTAAGGCCTATCAACCTCTGGAGGGTTATTAAGACCACCACAATACCTTACTGACCAACCAGCAAGTTTACTTCAGTCCTGAGACCTACAGTGACTGGACTGAAGTATGCTCTCAGTGTACCACTCACCGAGTTTGGTGTTGGACTTAAGACTTTATGATGTATAAGATCGTCACAATACGTGTGTGATAAAGATGTTTGCATTGGCCGCACACAATGGCATAGACATCCCGCCACAACACCTTACCGAAACTACGACGTTGGTACAACGTTTGAACAAGTTTTAACACCACCTAACCACTTATAACAACCAATATAGTAAGTTGTAACAGTGACGTTCTAATGCGTCATAAACACGTTAAGCCAAGATGTAACAACTTTATTACAAGTTGTAACAAGCGGAAAATAGAGACAGTTTCGGTTTGTGTCTCCAGGGATGTGTGCTGTAGCCTTCAGTGTTTGCACCGTTATTTTATAACCGCGCTCCTCATTTATTCCTGTAAACCCTTGAAATACAATGTACTTTGTTGTCATTTACTTATATACGCTTTCTGAACATGTGTAAGATATTACGGCTGTACAACTGCTCGCTGAAGCCACAACTGTAATGATTTGTATGAATTACACACGAATAAAGTTTCTAAACCTACAAAATGAATTACTTTCAAGGATTACGTGAGCCTGGGACCTCACTTTAACTGCTACTGGACTCAACATCCCGCCCTGAAGGACTTATGGAGCTCGGGATCCCACCCTTTCTCGTGGACTCGTATATCCTGCTCCCTACGGAGGACTAACAGAGCCTGAGATACTAACTGCTACTGGACTCTATATCCCGCCCCAAAGGACTAGCAGAGCCTGGGATCCAGACCCTGACATCCAGTGGACTATATCCCGCTTCCAAGGATTAGCAGAGCCTGGGATCCCACCCTGCTAGTGGACTCGTATATCCTGCCCCTACGGAGGACTAACAGAACCTGGGATACTGACTGCTACTGGACTCGTATATCCTGCCCCTACGGAGGACTAACAGAACCTGGGATACTGACTGCTACTGGACTCGTATATCCTGCCCCTACGGAGGACTAACAGAACCTGGGATACTGACTGCTACTGGACTCGTATATCCTGCCCCTACGGAGGACTAACAGAACCTGGGATACTGACTGCTACTGGACTCGTATATCCTGCCCCTACGGAGGACTAACAGAACCTGGGATACTGACTGCTACTGGACTCAACATCCCGCCCTGAAGGACTAGTGGAGCCTGGGCCTAGTCGTCCCCGCCCTCGGAGTATCCTCACACACACACACACAGCTCCGCCACCAACGCCCTCAGACAATGGTGGTAGAACCAAGTCATTGTTTACGTCTCTAAGAGTGTGGAAGAAAACGTCGGGAATTCAGCCCTAACTCAACTATATGTATGCATTAAATTATTACCAAGAGGAAACTGACTTATACCCGCTAAAATATAAGTTGTATAATTTGACCATGTAATATTTACATGACCCAACGAAGATGACACATGAATGTAAAAGCTGAATTTCTGCCATTGAAAGAAAAATCTTGACTTCTGCTATGCTACTGGTGCTGCTACTGCTGCTATTGTTGCTATGCTGCTGCTATTGCTGATTCTGCTACTAGTACTGCTACTGCTGCTGCTACTGCTGCTATTGCTGATTCTGCTACTAGTACTGCTACTGCTGCTGCTACTGCTGCTATTGCTGATTCTACTACTGCTACTAGTGCTGCTATTACTGCTGCTATTGCTGATTCTACTACTAGTACTGCTACTGCTGCTGCCACTGCTGCTGCTAGTGCTGCTACTGCTGTCACTACTACTGCAACTGCTGCTTCTGCTACCGCTGCTGCTGCTGCCGCTGCCGCCACAATGACTACTAAGTCAATAGTAGCCAGTGGGTGAGAGGTGTAAGTGGGGGACAGGAGAAGAATAGGTGGGTTAGAGGAGTTGACTTAAGTAGGAGAGAAAGTGGCAGGACTTAACCAGGTCTTTTTCGACTGGTCAGTGGTTGGAGAGACAAGTTCACTGTGCACAACATCATCACGCCCATTGTTGCAGTGATTGATGAAGTGTTTCTGAAACACAGCGTTTCTGCCCGAAATGCTCTGCATGTTGACCAGACCACACACTAGAAAGTGAAGGGACGACGACGTGTCGGCCCGTCCTGGACCATTCTCAAGTCGATATTTCAGCCACGTTATTGTGACTCCTCGTCTGCTCTACATGGTAGTGGCTTTGCAAGAATGTAAGAATACCAATATCAGGTAATCTTACAAGCCAATGTACCTTCTTGTATATAAATAATTGTATTTATTTTTTATATTTACTTATTTATACAAGAGTTCTTATATTCTTGTACAGTCACTAACATAGCGTTTCGGGCAGGTCCTTAATCCTATGTTCCCTGGAATACGACCCGTCAAGTCATTTAACAACCAGGTACCCATTTTACTGTTGGGTAAACTGAGGCTACAGTTTAGGATTAACGCAACAGTAAAATGTGTACTTGGATGAAAAAACGATTCTTCGCGGCAGGGGATCGTATTCCAGGGACCATACGATTAAGGACTTGCCCGAAACGCTACGCGTACTAGTGGCTGTACAAGAATGTAACAACTCTTGTATATAACTCAAAAAAATAAATCCTCTTCGGCCTGGATACGAACCAAGCCCCAAGCGTTCGCGAAACGCCAGGAGAGTGTCTTACCACTAAACCATGGGGATTGCTCAAATCAATCAACATCTGAGGTGTCGTGAAGGTTAAATAGGTTGTGTGTGTGTGCGTCATTCTAGGTCGTCTGAGTGCATCAGTAAGGAAAGTGACGTGATGTGTTAAGATTGTTCCGCGTGTGTTTTATCGTTGTGGGAAGTGCTAATTTGGTGAATTATGTATTTGTCTCTTACATTCATCGTCACTCTACCATCAGGATGCTCGAGTCTTTCATAACAACCTCTGATCCTGCTGTTATGTTAAGGGACCTTCGATGTAAGGGCGCTGCATTCCTAGTTTGAGAGGAATTTCTTGAATTTCTTAAGGATAACGCTGAAACAACCTGTCCTCTAACAAAGAATGTCGCTTTTCGCTCGTATGCGTTACATACGACCAAAAATTGTCGTACTAGAAGATGGAAGAGGCTCTCGAAAGTGACATACTGTTCCGTTTTCCGTTTTGGGTTCTTTGGTAAATTAGGAGAGACCACTTTAAATTGACCGTTTTCTTAATTTTGGGGAACCTTAGAAAGACGGGCTGATGAAGATGGTGTCAATTTCCGAGAAAAGTGGATTGCTTTCATTACGTGGTTGTTCTTGTGTGTGATTGGTGGGGGAAACACATTATTAAAATAAAGTTAACAAATCTGAAGAAAGCGCCAAGCCATTACGACTGCCATGATGGTAAACCTAGCTTAGCACCATGATGGCGCCAAGCCATCACTTGGAAGGGTACAGGATAAGGAGCTGGAATGGGACGGGGGGAAAGGAATGGTTCCCAACTACTTGAATGGTCGGGAATTGAACTCTGATCTGCATGAAACGAAACCATTGCTCTACCATCCAGACAAGTGATTGGGCGTACTGGTAGCGCCAGGGGTTACATGGTTGGTGCCTGGGAAGAGGACTCCGAGCGTGTTTTGAGTGGCATTGCAGTGTGGGTGGGGCAAGTACCAGTCTCCGTGGTGTAGTGGTAAGACACTGGCCTGGCGTTCCGCGAACGCTTTGTCATGGGTTCGTATCCTGGCCGGGGAGGATTTACTGGACGCAAATCCTTAACTGTAGCCTCTGTTTAACGCAACAGTAAAATGTGTACTTGGTTGTAAAAACGATTCTTCGCGGCAGGGGATCGTATTCCAGGGACCATAGGATTAAGGACTTGCCCGAAACGCTACGCGTACGAGTGGCTCTACAAGAATGAAACAACTGTTGTATATATATCTCTCTCTCACAAAAAAAAAGTATGGTAAGGGTGCTGAGTTTTCTGTAGTCTGGGGTTTGCTGCGTGAATGTTTTGTACGTTTTCTGTGGTGGTAGAGAAGTGTCGCGGGATGGTGGTGAAGGGGGGACTATGAAGGCTTCACTGTTAGGAGGGAAATTTAAATACTGTCCCGTTTTCTGTTTTGGGGCCTCTAATACTCGCCTAGTTGTGCTTGCGAGGGGGTTGAGCTTTGTCTCTTTGGTCCCGCCTCCTAACTGTCAATCAGCTGGTGTACAGATTCTTGAGCCTATTGGGCTCTATTAAATCTATATTTGAAACTGAGTATGGAGTCAGCCTCCACCACATCCCTGATTAATGCATTCCATTTGTTAACTACTCAGGCACTGAACAAATTCTGTCTAATGTCTCTGTGGCTCATTTTGGTACTACGTTTCTACCTGTGTCCCTGTGTTCGTGTTCCTCTTGACTAGTTTGTCTTTGTCAACCCTGTCGATTCCTCTGAGAATTTTGTAGGTGGTTATCATGTCTCCCCTTACTCTTCTGTCTTTCAGGGACGTGAGGTTTAGGTCCCGTAGGCTTTCCTCGTAGCTCATACCTCTCAATTGTGGGACCAGACTGGTGGCATACCTCTGAATCTTCTCTAACTTTGTCGTGTTTATCTGGGTATGGACTCCAGGCTGGAGCTGCATACTCCAGTACTGGTCTTACATAAGTGGTATACAAGGTCCTGAACGATTCCTTACACAAGTTTCAAAAGACAGTTCTTATGTTGGCCAGTCTAGCATATGCCGCTGATGATATCCTTTTGATGATGGCTTCTGGGGACAGGTTCGGTGTGATATCAACCCCCAGATCTTTCTCTCTATTTGACTCTTGCAGGATTTCACCTCCCAGATGGTACCTTGTGTTCAGCCTCCTGCTCCCTTCGCCTAATTTCATTACTTTACACTTTCCTAAGTTGAACTTTAGCAGCCCTTTTCTAGACCATTCCTCCAGTTTGTCCAGGTCGTCCTGTAGTCTCTATCTTCACCTGTCTTGATTCTTCTCATAATTTTTTTATCATCAGCAAACATTGAAAGGAATGAGTCTATACCCTCTGGAAGATCGTTTACATATATTGGAAATAGGATGGGTCCAGATGGGGAGTCGGTGGCCGAGCGGACAGAACACTGGACGCGTGATCCTGTGGTCCCGGGTTCGATCCCAGACGCCGGCGAGAAACGATGGGCAGAGTTTCTTTCACCCTGATGCCCTGTTACCTAGCAGTAAATAGGTACCTGGGAGTTAGTCGTTTTCACGGGCTGCTTCCTAGGGGTGGAGGCCTGGTCGAGGACTGGGCCGCGGGGACACTAAGCCCCGATATCATTTCAAGATAACCTCAAGAAAGTGCAGATCCCTATGGACCTCCGCTGGCGATATCTCGCCACTCTGATGTCTCCCCCCCCCCCCCCCCTCACCGTTACTGGCTGTTTCCTGTTGCTTAGATACTCCTTTATCCACTGGAGCACCTTACCTTTTACTCCTGCCTGTTGCTCCAACTTTTGTAACAGCCTTTTATGGGATACTGTGTCAAAGGCTTTCTGACAGTCCAAGAAAATGCAGTCTGCTCACCCTTATCTTATTTGCCTAATTTTTGTCGTCTGGTCATAGAATTCTATTAGGCCTGTGAGGCACGATTTACCATCTCTGAACCCATGCTGGTGGTGTGTGACAAAGTTATTTCCCTCTAGATGCTCTACGAGCCTTCTCGTCACGATCTTCTCCATCACCTTGCATGGTATACAAGTTAGGGAAACTGGCCTGTAGTTCAGTGCCTCTTGCCTGTCACCCTTTTTGTATATTGGGACGACATTAGCTGTCTTCCAACTTTCCGGTAGGTCTCCCGTTTCCAGTGACCTGTTATACACCATAGAGAGTGGCACACCTTGTGCTCTACACTCTGATAGGTTACCTTGAGGTTACCTTGAGGTGCTTCCGGGGCTTAGCGTCCCCGCCGCCCGGTCGTCGACCAGGCCTCCTGGTTGCCGGACTGATCAACCAGGCTGTTGGACGCGGCTGCTCGCAGCCTGACGTATGAGTCACAGCCTGGTTGATCAGGTATCCTTTGGAGGTGCTTATCCATGGGATAAGTTAGGTTAGGATTAGGGCACTTTAGTTCGACAGTTTCTTGACGTAGGGAAATATTAGGAGGAGGAATTTGATTTTTTAGAAACATCTGAACTATATGATAATTTTAATAATAAATAGTATTATTATTTGTATTTATTTATATGTATACAAGAGTTCTCACAATCTTGTACAGCCACTAACACGTATAGCGTTTCCGGTAGGTCATTGGTCTTAAATTTCCCTGGAATACGACCCACCAAATCGTTTACAACCAGGTACCCATTCAGAGGCGTACAGCTGAGGACTGGCGCCCAGTCAATCCTCTTCGGCCAGGATACGAACCTAGGCCAAATCGCTCTCGAAGCCCTGGGTGAGTGTTTTACCACTGCGCCACTCGGACTAGCACTATTATTTAGGAAAAAGTACATGCATACAAAATAGGATAAAAGAAGAATGCTGGATATAATAATAATAATAATAATAATAATAATAATAATAATAATAATAATAATAATAATAATAATAATAATAATAATAATGTTTCGGGGACAGGCAGCGAGAGTGTATTCATACACGTTAGGCCTCTCCGTAGTCTCCGTGGTGTAGTGGTAAGACACTCGCCTGGCGTTCCGCGAGCGCTTTGTCATGGGTTCGTATCCTGGCCGGGGAGGATTTACTGGGCGCAATTCCTTAACTGTAGCCTCTGTTTAACTCAACAGTAAAATGTGTACTTGGTTGTAACAACGATTCTTCGCGGCGGGGATCGTACTCCAGGGACCTGCCTGAAACGCTACGCGTACTAGTGGCTCTACAAGAATGTAACAACTCTTGTATATATCTCAAAAAAAACGTTCACAAAAGGTGATCTGAGAGCTTCGCACCAGAGCGTGTTGTGGCTGGAAGTGTGGCTGATCACCTGTTGTTGCCACACACCTGTACTAAGGTACACTAGGTACTAGTGTACCGTCTAGTGTACTAAGGTACACTAGATGGGACCAACATAGAAAACTTCTTCAAGCGATGGGTGTCTGTGAGTTGGACAGCTGCTGCGGGCTGCTTTCTGGGGGATGTGTGGCAAAGGAGGCCTGGTTGAGGACCGGGCAGCAGGAACGCTGAGACCCGAAGTCATCTCAAGATAACCTCAAGATAACTGCAGTCCTCCTCAGTTCCGATTCGCCTCATTAGTTTACCATCGTCAGCAAACATGGATAGGAATGCACTTACTCCCTCAGTCACATCGTTTGCATATATTAGGAACAGGATGGGGCATAGCACCGAACCTTGAGGCACCCCACTCGTTACCTCTCTCCATTATGATAGTTCTCTGAACATGACTCTTTGTCTTCTTCCTGAGAGGTTCTCCTTTATCCACTTCAGTTCTTTTACCTATACACCAGTCTGTACTCACCTAGATGTACTTGCAAGATCGAGCTAGGCTCGTAGCCCCATTTTCCGAACGTTCTTAAACTAATGCAATGACTCATTTCTCACGCTTTCGTCATATTTACATATCAAATTTTGCATCGAATTACCTTCAGTGACTTCTACGTCTAACATGTTCTACTTATTGACAGCTCTGACACTGATTAGGTCATTTCTGACGTCTCTGTCACACATTTGCGTCTCCAGGCTCCATCTATGACTCCTCGTTCTGGTGTTCCTAGCTTTGGACTCCGCTGCCTTGTCTACTTTCTTATATTTCCCCTGAATCTTATATCTTATATGTTGTCTCTTTTATCTCTCTCGTGTGTGTGCGCGCGCAGCTCATCCTCCTGTTTTGGTAGTCCATACAGTAACGATGAAGACCATAATATATATTGGAACAGTTGCACTAACGTCCCACATAATAAAAGTATTTGAGAGAGTGATTAGGAGTCAGGTCACTAAATTCATGGAGACCAATGACCTCCACAACCCGTTCCAACATGGATTTCGAGCGGGAAAATCGTGCCTCTCACAGCTACTTGATCACTACGACAAACTCATTGAGGCATTCGAAGAAAAACAGAATGCAGATGTGGTATACACGGACTTCGCAAAGGCATTCGATAAATGTGACCATGGAGTGATAGCACACAAAATGAGGTCAATGGGAATGACCGGTAAAGTAGGACGCTGGATACTCAGTTTTCTGTCGAACAGAACACACAGAGTAACAGTCAACCAAATAAAATCGAGTCCAAGCGTTGTTAAAAGCTCTGTACTTCAGGGTACAGTCCTTGCACCACTGCATTGAACTGTATGTTTAACACTTCTCTAACCCTGTCCATGGAGGACAGAAGAAAATGTTTATATGCTGGTTTGCATTGTAAATGTCTGGCCACGTCTGTGGTAGAAAATAATAATAAAAAAAAAAAAAACACTGCTTTTTCTTATTCTCATATCAAATAAAGACAAAAATACAAGTCACAGTGAAGGGTTTTCTATTTTGTCTTCCCGACTGCAATGTTTACGTTACCAATGTACACGTGGCAGACGCTTCACGAAGCTGTCGGAATCAGTAGAGAAAATACGAGAGCAACCGAACAGGGCCTCTTAAGGTTATCTTGAGTTGATTTCGGGGCTTTAGTGTCCCCGCGGCCCGGTTCTTGACCAGGCCTCCACCCCTAGGAAGCAGCCCGTGACAGCTGACTAACTCCCAGGTACCTATTCAGTGCTAGGTAACAGGGGGGCATAGGGTGAAAGAAACTCTGCCCATCGTTTCTCGCTGGCGCCTGGGATCGAACCCGGGACCACAGGATCACAAGTCCAGTGTGCTGTCCGCTCGGCCGACCAGCTCCCTATTGCCAACCGACCGGCAATAGGTCGGTCGGCACAGCTCAAGTACAAGTGTAATCCCGACGAATGCTTTGGGCTCTACAACGCTGAAAGACAACCCGTAGCCTCTCATAACTTTGTTTATCATCCTGGTGGGGGCGTCAGTGCACATTCAAATTAAAATAAACCATGTTTTATATCGTATTTTACTAGCTTGTGAGATAATTTGTCCTTTGAAATATTTCTTTGCGTGGAAAATTATACAATATACAGGATATTGCAACATTGTATTTATAAGTTCATTTTTTTACAACAAATTGGTTATAACAATGTCGAGAACAGCTTCAAATGACAGACATGACAAATTGACGAGCCTCACATTCCTCATTTATACACACATCAAGTTGCGGACATAGCAGCCTCATCCAGACATCAAGTTGCGGACATAGCAGCCTCATCCAGACATCAAGTTGCGGACATAGCAGCCTCATCCACACATCAAGTTGCGGACATAGCAGCCTCATCCAGACATCAAGTTGCGGACATAGCAGCCTCATCCAGACATCAAGTTGCGGACATAGCAGCCTCATCCAGACATCAAGTTGCGGACATAGCAGCCTCATCCAGACATCAAGTTGCGGACATAGCAACCTCATCCAGACATCAAGTTGCGGACATAGCAGCCTCATCCAGACATCAAGTTGCGGACATAGCAGCCTCATCCAGACATCAAGTTGCGGACATAGCAGCCTCATCCAGACATCAAGTTGCGGACATAGCAGCCTCATCCAGACATCAAGTTGCGGACATAGCAGCCTCATCCAGACATCAAGTTGCGGACATAGCAGCCTCATCCAGACATCAAGTTGCGGACATAGCAGCCTCATCCAGACATCAAGTTGCGGACATAGCAGCCTCATCCACACATCAAGTTGCGGACATAGCAGCCTCATCCACACATCAAGTTGCGGACATAGCAGCCTCATCCACACATCAAGTTGCGGACATAGCAGCCTCATCCAGACATCAAGTTGCGGACATAGCAGCCTCATCCACACATCAAGTTGCGGACATAGCAGCCTCATCCACACATCAAGTTGCGGACATAGCAGCCTCATCCACACATCAAGTTGCGGACATAGCAGCCTCATCCACACATCAAGTTGCGGACATAGCAGCCTCATCCAGACATCAAGTTGCGGACATAGCAGCCTCATCCAGCTCTAATATTAACGGAGTTAACAGCCTCGTCATCTATGGTGCTATCCTAAACTTCACGAAGGGTTACAGATGCTTACATCAAGAGCTAACTCTTTATTAACATCCCCATCTCGCAGGATGGGTTGCTAAACAGAACGCGAAATCTCTTTACCCTTATAAAGATTATAAGGCATTGTATGTACTGTAGGCATTGTATATAAAGTTTAGGCATTGTATGTACTAGCTCTACCTATAAGTCAACCAATCTTTGTAAAAATTTATTGTATGTATGTACCTTACCTAAATAAAAATTATTATTATTATTATTATTAAAATACGCGGCCACAGATCAAAAAACTGCAAAGTTCTAAGTGCCTCATACCACCAGATCTGAGAGGAGGGTCTAATGAATGAACTTTATATAGAACTTTATGCAGTAATATAACGTTGAAGTGCAAGATCAGATTCCTGTTCGCAATTCACTCATTGGGCACTCGGGATTGTGAGAGATATCACTCACAATCACTAGCTACAGGGAGAAGTATCACTCACAATCACTAGCTACAGGGAGAAGTATCACTCACAATCACTAGCTACAGGTATCGAAAACTCCTCATTCTCGAAATCAATATTCCGCATTGGTAGCCGTTTCTCCCCGCATACATATATAAATATATATTAAATTTGAAATCATATGCTTAATATCCGTCCTTTCAGACATTTGAATGTCTGATTTCATTCCTATCATATATAATTGTTTGGCGCAATATGACTTAGTTAAATTTCAACACAAGTACTCCAATGGATATCGTTCACGGAACCAGGTATATAACAGCACTATCACACTACTGTACAGAGCACCACTCTAGCTATCGTATAGACCACCATTCAAGCTACCGTACTAGGCTCCACTCAAGTACTTTGACCTTTGACAAGCTGCCGGCTTCCTGTCCTCGTCGAGGCCACTAGGGTTAGTGACCCTCAGGTAAATCAAGCTACCGTACAAAACATCGCTCACAGCTATCGTACAAAGCACTACTCACAGCTATCGTAGCAAGCACCACTCAGCTATCATACAAGGCACCACTCACAGCTATCGTACAAAGCAGCACTCACTGCTACCGTAGAAAGCAGCGCTCACAGCTTCTGTGAAAAGCAGCGCTCACAGCTACCGTAGAAAGCATTATTAGCAGCTACAGTAGAAAGCAGCGCTCTCAGCTACCGTAGCAAGCATCACGAGCAGCTACCATAGCAAGCAGCACTCACAGCTACCGTAGCAAGCAGCACTCGCAGCTACCGTAGCAAGCAGAGCTCACAACTACCGTAGTAGGCAGAGCTCACAGCTACCGTAGCAAGCAGCTACAGTAGAAAGCAGCACTCACAGCTACCGTAGCAAGCAGCACTCGCAGCTACCGTAGCAAGCATCACTATCAGCTACCGTAGCAAGCAGAGCTCACAGCTACCGTAGCAAGCAGAGCTCACAGCTACCGTAGTAAGCATCACTATCAGCTACCGTAGCAAGCAGCACTCACAGCTACCGTAGCAAGCAGCACTCGCAGCTACCGTAGCAAGCAGCACTCACAGCTACCGTAGCAAGCATCACTATCAGCTACCGTAGCAAGCATCACTATCAGCTACCGTAGCAAGCAGCACTCACAGCTACCGTAGCAAGCAGCACTCGCAGCTACCGTAGCAAGCAGCACTCGCAGCTACCGTAGCAAGCAGCACTCACAGCTACCGTAGCAAGCAGCACTCACAGCTACCGTAGCAAGCAGCACTCACAGCTACCGTAGCAAGCAGCACTCGCAGCTACCGTAGCAAGCATCACTATCAGCTACCGTAGCAAGCAGCACTCGCAGCTACCGTAGCAAGCAGCACTCGCAGCTACCGTAGCAAGCAGCACTCACAGCTACCGTAGCAAGCAGCGCTCACAGCTACCGTAGCAAGCAGCACTCACAGCTACCGTAGCAAGCAGCACTCGCAGCACTCACAGCTACCGTAGCAAGCAGCGCTCACAGCTACCGTAGCAAGCAGCGCTCACAGCTACCGTAGCAAGCAGCGCTCACAGCTACCGTAGCAAGCAGCGCTCACAGCTACCGTAGCAAGCAGCGCTCACAGCTACCGTAGCAAGCAGCACTCGCAGCTACCGTAGCAAGCAGCGCTCAAAGCTACCGTAGTAAGCAGCACTCACAGCTACCGTAGCAAGCAGCACTCACAGCTACCGTAGCAAGCAGCACTCACAGCTACCGTAGCAAGCAGCACTCACAGCTACCGTAGCAAGCAGCACTCACAGCTACCGTAGCAAGCAGCACTCACAGCTACCGTAGCAAGCAGCACTCACAGCTACCGTAGCAAGCAGCACTCATAGCGCCAGGATGATGAGGGGCGGGACACAGGGAGGTGAACAACGGGTACTAGTTAGTATGGGTGTCGAAGGCCGCCAACCGCCGGGTTGTTAGGGATGACTACGAGGTACGGCAGACCGCTGGTAGATCCAAAACTCGACGAACCGAAGCCTGTTGAACCCAAGCTTGGCGAACCGAAGCTTGACGAACCAAAGGCTGCCGATCCTAAGCTTGGCGAGCCAAAACCTGGCGAGGCAAAGCCTGACGAACTAAAGCCGGTCGATCCCAGGCTTGGACCAAAACCTGATGAGCCGAAGTTTGTTGAACCAAATCCGGTTGAACCGAAGCTTGACGACTGCAAGGCTGCCGGACTCCAGCTAGCTGTCCCAAACCTCACGGAAGGGAAGCCCACCACGGCTTGGCTCGCCGAGGGCCCGTCTCTCACAACACTCACCTCCATCTGCAAAAAACAATCCGTAATGCATATCAAAAATAGCATAATAATTTATAAATATACAAAACTGATGAAATATGTACGACACTAACATTTGAGAATAGTTACGTTTACCTATGAGATATTACACGAGTGACGTATTCACTGTAATCACATAGAGTAACTAGTGCGGTGCAGTAGGCCTAGTTTTAGCCATAGCCAAGTTATGATTGATAACTAAGCTTCTAGTACTGTAAGGGTATTTGAAATACCAAATGAGCAACTATTGATGATGATAAGCACATGATTTCAGTTAAGATTTAGATACAGTACAAAAGCCTCAACCGAGTCAGTAGAGCGGACAATTTTGGGTACATCAGGGTGTAAGCTTTTTGAGGGTATAAGCCTGGGTATGGGTATTTATACAGGGCATGGGAGAGTTGCACATTTATGCACAGGTTGGGTTAAGCTTTTATGTTAGATCAGGCAAGGTTAGGTCAGGCTTGAATAGGTTAAGTTTGGTTAGGCTAGACTAGCCTAGTCTAGGTTAAATTTGATTAGGCTAGATGCTTAATGCATCTATATGCTTCAAGAAATACAAATATAGAGATATTTGGAAATTGAATCAAGTTGATTATTAAATATATAATGGTAGGTGTTCCACAAAGTGGCTCCTTAAGTAATTAACTGATGCCGCTACATTCTTGCATACTTAAAATGAAATAAAAAGATAAGTTATGATATCAATGCACTTAACAAATTAGAAAAGAGTGAAACAATGAAATAAGAACAGACGATGAATGAGAAATTACACTAACAAAAGCCGAGCCAAAATCCCAAGAGAAAATTGTGGGTTGTGGAAGCCACTGTTGCATCTGCTCTACCACTGCTGAATACCCTCCATCTCTGTACATACCCACCCAAACACATTGCTTCCATTGTCAGTTACGCTAAAAGTGTTGCATTATAAAACCAGGTAAAGCTCTCTGGAACGATACTTACCTGAGGCAGTAAGCTTAGAGCTGGGTGGCGACGGTCTGCCCCTGACGAAGCGATGTGGCTCCTCGCAGCCTCCTGCTCCCATAAGTTGTGGAACGGTGCGAACTCTGTCTGGAAGTCGGGAACGCCGCCGGCAGTGGGCGCTGCCTGCGTTTCCACGAACGTCTCCTGTTGTTGCTGCTGTGTCGATGTTGCTTGTGTCGGTGCTGCTTGCTGTGCTGGCGCTGCCTGCTGCACGGAATTTGATTGGATTACTGTCCCAGGTGCAATTGCATTCCTGGCTGCCTGAGCTTCCCACAGATCGAAGAAGTTGTTAAATGCTGCGGCTATATCAGGCGCTGCTGTGGTACTTACTGCCGGAGTCTCAACTGTCAGCACCACCACAGCTTGCTCTGCTGCTTGATCCACCTGGGGCTCCTGCGCCACCTGTCCCTCCTGTGCCACCTGTCCCTCCTGCGCCTGTTCTTGTGCCACCTGTCCTTGGGCCTGTTCTTGTGCCAACTGTTCCTCCTGCGCCTGTTCTTGCGCCACCTGCTGTCCTTCTTGGGCCTGTTCTTGCGGCACCTGCTGTCCTTCTTGGGCCTGTTCTTGCGCCACCTGCTGTCCTTCTTGGGCCTGTTCTTGTGCCAACTGTTCTTCTTGGGCCTGTTCTTGAGCCGCCTGTCCCTCCTGTGCCTGTTCTTGCGCCACCTGGGCCTGTTCTTGCGCCAACTGTTCTTCTTGGGCCTGTTCTTGAGCCGCCTGTCCCTCCTGGGCCTGTTCTTGCGCCACCTGTCCCTCCTGGGCCTGTTCTTGAGCCGCCTGTCCCTTCTGGGCCTGTTCTTGCGCCACCTGTCCCTCCTGGGCCTGTTCTTGAGCCGCCTGTCCCTCTAGAGGCAGCTGCACCAGTTGAGAGGTCTGCGCCGACGGCTGCGTCAGCTGTAGATAAGGCGCCGTGGGTGGAATAGAGTTCCTTCTGGCCTCAGCGAGCCACAGCTGATGGAAGGCGTCGTGTGCCGCTAGGACGCTGGCCGCATCTGCCGCATGGGATGCCTGCGGCGACACCTGCGGCCGCGCCTCCGTCACCGCCACCGCCACACACAGCAACATCTGCAACAACAACATATTGCAAACATATCTCATGAACAACAATGAGGTTAGTTGTCACTGTTGGCCCTCGAGAGCGCCTTCGCAAGCATACAAATTTTTACCGTGCAAGCATAACGAGGCTACAACCCGTCTTCACAACTAATAGGTCACGTTTGTTACGTTGTGGTCACTAACGTGACAAAGCCAACTTACTGTGATATGTAACGGCTCACGAATATCCCTGTTTTCTATGCATCGGACTCAATAGGTTGGGAGGGTTGCTAGGGTTCGCTTCTGGTTGGGTTAGCAGGTTGGATTTTTCACGGAGTTGTAAACCGAGAGAGCGGAGAGGAACAGTATACCCGGGTACACCTTCGTGAGAGTAATAATAGTGAGTTTACCTTTGTAAACACATGATGATACACACAAAGTTTACCTCTTGTGTTTCATAACTTGTCTGTACCTGTCTGTGAGTTGGAAGGTTTATCATGGGTACAGTAACGGTGAGGGAGGACTTGTAATGGGTACAGTAACGGTGAGGAGGACTTGTAATGGGTACAGTAACGGTGAGGAGGACTTGTAATGGGTACAGTAACGGTGAGGAGGACTTGTAATGGGTACAGTAACGGTGAGGAGGACTTGTAATGGGTACAGTAACGGTGAGGAGGACTTGTAATGGGTACAGTAACGGTGAGGAGGACTTGTAATGGGTACAGTAACAGTGAGGAGGACTTGTAATGGGTACAGTAACGGTGAGGAGGACTTGTAATGGGTACAGTAACGGTGAGGAGGACTTGTAATGGGTACAGTAACGGTGAGGAGGACTTGTAATTGGGAAAACTAATAGTGAAAGTGAAAATAATTTGCGTAATGGGAAAATATTGACAATTGTGAGGCTTGCATATCAAATGTATTCAAATTCTGTATCAAATGTGATGTATTAAATGAGAGAACGGGTGTCGAACTATCACTTGTGGGTATCACTAAAATCTATCGTCGGTGGTTAAATTGTAACAAGGCTGTTGGAGCACCTTGATGGTTGTGGGTCCCATAGTCGGGGACAGGAAGCCTATTGACCCAGTCCATCCTCCAAATAAAGACCCAAAAAGGGATTCTATCCACCCGCCAAATCCGATGTTTATAAATGAAAAACGGTTTACACACGATTCACAACTGATGACGTTCGAACACTTCCGGAACAAGTGCTTCACTGACGACTTGTGTTCGAACCACAACGCTATAAATGCTTCACCCACGTACTACAAATACAAATAATCGCCAACAGAACCTAAACACCTAACTTAACCTAACCTATGCCTCTACATGCTAATATATTATAATATTAATTTATATTTTAAAAAATTCCTGTTTTGAATGAACAGCATGTAAAAATTTATGAATGCGTCTGTGGGGTCGACCGCTGGATGGAATGGACTTGTGTCGAGGACGGGTTGGTTGGCCAACTACTGACCTTCCCCAGGAGGCAGCCCACAACAGCTCCCTGACTCCCGGGGGACCTACCCTCCAAACACACACCGAAACTACGACGTTGGTACAACGTTCGAACAAGTTTTAACACCACCTAACCAGTTATAACAACCAATATATCAAGTTGTAACAACGTTCCAATACGTCATAAACACGTTAAGCCAAGATGTAACAACTTTATTACAAGTTGTTACAAGCGGAAAATAGAGACAGTTTCGGTTTGTGTTTCCAGGGTAGCTATTTACTGCTGGGTGAACAGAGGCATCAGAAAAACAGTAGCAATACAAGGACACGAAACTGATTGGGTCACCTCTTTTCAATACCTTGGAGCCATAATAGGCAGCCAGTTGAAATTCACTCAAGAAATTGAATATCTTCGGCAATGCTGTAAAGCCAGAAACTCAGCTTTGCGCTCTCTGACCAGTCTTAGAGAGGGTGCATCTCTACCAGTACTCAAAATGTACTACGTTCCAGCAGTTAGGTCACTCATCGACTATGCTGCTCCTGCTCCTACATCCCTCAGTGATAACCAGTGGGAGAAACTGGAAGTGTCTCAAAATGATGCTCTGAGAACAATGCTGGGAGCACCTATATGGACGCGTAGAGAGACTCTAAGAATGGAAACCAACTTGTCAGCCTTAGAAAACAGGATCAAACAAAGGATAGCCACCATAACAGCGAAACTTGATGGAACCACCGCCAGACTGTCAGTCAAAGATAGCATACACAGATCACTTCACAGAAACCTTCAATATAGAACCAGTGCATAGACAGATAATCTGGTCAAGATTCTAGAGAAGGTGAACTTGAAACGGACCATTAAAAACAAAGGAGAAGATAGACCATATCAACACTTTCGACAGCCTCCTCCATGGGAAGAATCGAGTCTGAAGATAATCATTGAAGGATTACCAGTTAAAAAATCTGCATGTGACCCGCAGAGGCTCAAAGCCGTCGTAGAACAACAAATGGAAATCATCTCTAGACCTACAACCACTAACATCTTCACAGACGGATCAGTTGATCAAGAAAGAGGTTCTGCTGGGGCAGCAGTCTATACTAACAACCATGAAACTTACTGGAGCATGAATAGTGGGTGCTCAACATTGCAAACAGAATAATATGCCCTGAAGGAGACCATAAATTATACAATTGAGAATAATTTACATGATATCATTCATACCAACTCTAAATCTTCGCTCCAGGCATTGTTATCCAGTCAGCACAGAGATAATATACAACTCATCACAGAAATCCAACATATAGGAAAAGAAGCACACAATCTAGGGCTGTCAATTACCCTAAATTGGATACCAAGTCACATTGGCATAGATGGTAATGAAAAGACAGACTCACTAGCAAAAACTGCCACTGCTCTACCTGTTGTATAGGTTCAAATACCTCCAAGTTGTTCACAGATTAAGGAGCAAATCAAGAAGAAAATACTCCCAACTATCAAAAGTCGCCACAGAGCCAAAGTAGCGGAAGGAAAATCCACTGCGATATTGTACGAACAAGCCACTGGGAACTACTCTTTCAAGTCTGGCAAAAAGATATCCAGAGACATTGCAGTAGCCATACACAGACTGTCTTGGTTACAAGTGCTGCTGGGAGGTAATGAATCCAATAGTTAAAGAGTGTCGTATCTGTGGAACAGAAGCAGAGGCGCCACTATTGCACTACTTACTGGAACGTGAAGCAACTGAAGCACAGCGTATTAAACTGAACATTAATCCAACGACAGCAGCTGCATTAGATGCAAAATCCACAGCGACTACAATGGTTAGAAAAGCCGTTGAAGAACGGGACACACTAGTGAACATTGTGCATCTACATCCGCCACCAAGATAATGTTATTAAAACAAAAGACTAAAACCGGTGCGAAGAGAAAGAAACTCTACCTTCATTTAAAACTTTGACCCAGATATCACAGTAACAATGTTATCGTGAAGATTTGAACTCGATTACAGGCTCACTATACCCGCGATACAAGGACATTTCGTTCTGAGTAGCTAAATCTAAGAGAGCATCAACAGGTATTAGTCCCCCCCCCCTCCCCGGGCCAATCAGTGACCTGCCCGAAAATGCAATCAGTTGAAAGTAGAGGCCAGTCTCTATTCCATTCGGGGATTGACCCCGGGATCCTCGTTGTGAGCAGACAACGTAGCCTACTACGCTATCAACTATACCCTTAATAACCGAGTATAATATAACAATGAACAACTCGACAATACTGACCACAAGCTTCATCTTGGCCGCGACGACACACACAACTGACTACTGCAGGAAGGCCCCGGCCACACCTTATATACCCAGGTCCATCACACGACCCCTCACATTATACCCGCTAAATACGACCCGTCAATTTTCCCTGAAAAAGTGGCTGTGGAGTGTTGCCGGGCCGAGGGGCGCACTACGGCCCGGCCACGCTCCCTTGATGGTCCGGTCGACCTCCAGGATGGTCGCGGAGACGGGTCCGGTCGACCTCCGGGATGGTCGCGGAGACGGGTCCGGTCGACCTCCGGGATGGTCGCGGAGACGGGTCCGGTCGACCTCCAGGATGGTCGCGGAGACGGGTCCGGTCGACCTCCGGGATGGTCGCGGAGACGGGTCCGGTCGACCTCCAGGATGGTCGCGGAGACGGGTCCGGTCGACCTCCAGGATGGTTGCGGAGACGGGTCCGGTCGACCTCCGGGATGGTCGCGGAGACGGGTCCGGTCGACCTCCGGGATGGTCGCGGAGACGGGTCCGGTCGACCTCCGGAATGGTCGCGGAGACGGGTCCGGTCGACCTCCAGGATGGTCGCAGAGACGAGTATAAACATCAGAGGTCCGCGGTTGTTCAACATCATCCCAACAAGCATAAGAAATATTGCCGGAACAACCGTGGACAGAAAGAGGAAGGGAGGAAGAGCTTGGACACGGGAAATACCAGATGCGCTCAAATCAGCAGACATAGCCCCTCTACACAAGAGAGGGAGCAAAGCTTTGGCAAAGAATTATACATCAATTGCACTAAGGTCCCACATAATAAAAGTATTTGAGAGAATGATTAAGCGTCAGGTCACCTGTTTCATGGAGACCAATGGCCTTCACAACCCAGGCCAACATGGATTTAGAGCGGGAAGATCGTGCCTCTCACAGCTACTTGACCACTACGACAAAATCACTGAGGCATTAGAAGAAAACAGAGTGCAGATGCGGTATACATGGGCTTTGCAAAGGCATTCGATAAATGTGACCATGGCGTGATTGCACACAAAATGAGGTCAACGGGATAACTGGTAAAGTAAGACGCTGGATACTCAGTTTTCTGCTGAACAGAACACAGAGTAACAGTCAACCATATAAAAAGGAGTCCAAGCGCAATTAAAAGCTCTGTACCTCAAGGTACAGTCCTTGCACCACTGCTTTTCCTTATTCTCATATCCGATATATACAAGTCACAACTTCGTATCATCTTTTGCAGGTGACACAAAAATCAGCATGAAAATTACCTCTGTTGAAGACATTGAAAAACTACAAGTAGATGTTAATAAAGTTTTCGACTGGATGGTAGAAAATAACATGATGTTTAACAGTGATAAATTCCAGGTACTCAGGTACGGTAAAAATGAGAACCTTAAACATAATACAGAGTACAAAACACAATCAAATGTGCCCATAGTAGGAAAACAGCATGTAAAGGATTTGGGAATAATGATGTCTGACGACCTAACGTTTAGGGAGCATAACCAAGCAAATATTGCGTCAGCCCGAAAAATGATAGGATGGATTACGAGAACTTTCAAATCCAAGGATCTCATCACAATGGTTGTACTCTTCAAGTCACTTGTGTTGTCCCGTCTTGAGTACTGCTCAGTACTCACTTCCCCCTTCAGAGCAGGAGAGATTGCTGAAATAGAGGGAATACAGAGAACAGATACGGCACGCATAGACGAGATAAAGCACCTAAATTATTGGGATCGTCCCAAATCTCTCCAAATGTACTCAATAGAAAGAAGACGAGATACCAAATAATATACACCTGGAAGATACTGGAGGGCAAGGTCCCTAATCTACACAGTAAAATAACAACGTCCTGAAGTGAACGATATGGAAGAAAATGCAGAATAGAACCAGTGAAGAGCAGAGGTGCCATAGGCACAATCAGAGAACACTGTATGAACATCAGAGGTCCGCGGTTGTTCAATATCCTCCCAGCGAGCATAAGAAATATTGCCGGAACAACCGTGGACATCTTCAAGAGAAAATTAGATAGTTTTCTTCAAGGAGTGCCGGACCAACCGGGCTGTGGTGGATATGTGGGCCTGCGGGCCGCTCCAAGCAACAGCCTGGTGGAGCAAGCTCTCACAAGTCAAACCTGGCTTCGGGCTTGGGGAGTAGAAGAACTCCTAGATCCCCCATCAAACAGGGTCCGGTCGACCTCCAGGATGGTCGCGGAGACGGATCTCGTCGACCTCCAGGATGGTCGCGGAGACGGGTCCGGTCGACCTCCGGGATGGTCGCGGAGACGGGTCCGGTCGACCTCCACTGGGCAATCTGTGTGACCCGATAAAGGAATTATTATTTTTTGACAATAAATACTTGTTTATGAAGTACCGGATAACAGGTAGACTGGAGCTCACGTGATTGTTTCAAGCGTAGGTTAGACACATATATGGATGAGTTTGTGTGGACATAAATAGGAGCTGCCTTGTACAGGCGGATAGGTTTGTCTGCAGTCTCCCTATTTTCTATTGCACACTAGTTTACGTTCCCAACTCACAATCGAGGATCCCGGGTTCAATCCCCGGTTGGAAATTATTGGGCAAGTTCCTTTTCACGCGATGCCTTTGTTCAACAGGTAGAAAATAGGTACCCGTGAGTGAGGCAACTGTTGAGGGTAGCATCCCAAGGAAGGTCAGAACTATGACCTTAGGAGACCTTGATACAAGCTTTCTATCCTCGACAACGGCAGTTAGAAGCAGTTTGTTTTTTTGAGATATATACAAGAGTTGTTACATTCTTGTAGAGCCACTAGTACGCGTAGCGTTTCGGGCAGGGGCCAGATTCACGAAAGCACTTACGCAAGCACTAACGAACGTGTACATCTTTCCTCAATCGTTGACGGCTTTGGTTACATTTATTAAACAGTTTACAAGCGTGAAAACTTCCCATTCAACTGTTGTTATTGTTATAAACAGCCTCCTGGTGCTTCGGAGCTCATTAACTGTTTAATAATTGTAAACAAAGCCGCCAAAGATTGAGAAAAGATGTACAGGTTCGCAAGTGTTTGCGTAAGTGCTTTCGTGAATCTGGCTCCAGGTCCCTGGAATACGATCCCCGCCGCGAAGAATCGTGGCGGGTTTGGTTGGAGTTTTGGAATCTTGAAAACTTTTGGAAACTTGTTGGAAACAGTTGGAGTTTTGGAACTTGAACGGGAACCTTTATGGAGGTTCCAACACTGTAGGCTGTTGTTGTTGTTATAGATTCAGCTACTCGGAACAAAATGTTCCATGCAGCACGGGATATGGTGAGCCCGTAAACACTATTGGGTACCTGAGCCTATATAAGTATATAAGATGGAAATTAGGCCCCTATTAATTATGGGCTATTCATGCCCGTGCCACCTCTTGGGTGGCTTAATCTTCATAGATCAATCAAATTAGGGCAGGTGAAAACTACCAATCGGTTTAGGATATAAAGTCGATCACTAAAATTTAATCGAAATAAATGTTATTGAGCAATAATTGGCATTGCTCAATTCTCACGGGATTGAAATAAATGCCATGAGAAATAACTCGATATATTGCAGGCGATGAGTCACAATAACATGAGAAATAACTCGATATATTGCAGGCGATGAGTCACAATAACATGAGAAATAACTCGATATATTGCAGGCGATGAGTCACAATAACATGAGAAATAACTCGATATATTGCAGGCGATGAGTCACAATAACATGAGAAATAACTCGATATATTGCAGGCGATGAGTCACAATAACATGAGAAATAACTCGATATATTGCAGGCGATGAGTCACAATAACGTGGCTGAAGTATGTTGACCAGACCACACACTAGAAATTGAAGGGACGACGACGTTTCGGTCCGTCCTGGACCATTCTCAAGTCGATTGAGAATGTCGAGATCGACTTGAGAATGGTCCAGGACGGACCGAAACGTCGTCGTCCCTTCAATTTCTAGTGTGTGGTCTGGTCAACTCGATATATTTATATAATCCAGTGACAGTGTCAGACCGCGGAGGAAAATTGAAACAGGAATTTCCTTAAGTACTTTCGTACTTAAGGAAATATTAATATTCGTATATTAATACATCTGTTGACCACACTACACACTAGAAGGTGAAGGGACGACGACGTTTCGGTCCGTCCTGGACCATTCTCAAGTCGATACATCTCCTGAAGATGTATTAATATACGAAAGTACTTAAGGAAATTCCCGTTTCAATTTTCCTCCGTGGTCTGACACTGTCACATTTTTTTCACGTGTTTATTTTTCGTGATTTACGTGTACAACCCGTTCTCGCAAATTTAATAAGTCAATATTGACTTATTAAATATGTGCATAGGTGACATACTTAACATAATAGATACCCTTAAAAAGATTCATAGAAAACACCGACCTTACCTAACCTTGTTAGTATCTTAAGATAAGCATCTTATAGCTTCGTAATTACAATTATTACCTAACCTATAATAGGTATAGGTTAAGTAATAATTGTAATTACGAAGCAATACACACACATTTGATCCAGAGTAACACTATGTCGCTGAGAGTGAGACACTGAGACACGCTGCCTTCAGACGATGACAATGCTGGTCCAAGACGACCTTTAAGGAAGGGCGAGGTAAATACCCACAGGAATCCGATTTCATTTGACATACAGCATCTCTTGACGCCCAGAGACCCACCTTTGGCAGGCCCGGTTACCCAACGTACCTGAGGTGGGGCATGATGCCCACACTCCGCTCCTCCCACCCACCCCATTTATCAAGCATTTATGTGTCCACTTACGAAGCCTGTGCATCTGTCTTCGATCATTGTGGCTTGCTCAGGAGACATCTCCCGTCACGCAGGGTACAGTCGCACCTCCACAGATCTCCAGTATCAGCTCTTGATACTGGTAATGGCTCAAAAGGGCCACCACTTACGGGCTATTCATGCCCGTGCCACCTTTTGGGTGGCTTAATCTTCATCAATCAATCAATTGTGGCTCGGTTTGTTGTTATTGAAGAGTTTATGAGCTGAAACCTTCACAACC